AGTAAATTGTACGATTATTCAAGTTAAACTACAGACTAGAAGCTGAAGCTGAAGTTTCTTAATTCCCCAACTTGATTTTGAAACGCACAAACAAACCTGTGGTGATTCATACCGTGCGTCACTCTGTATTATTAATATGATTTTATCAGGCCTGTGTAGGTGGTGCTCAGAATGTGTGTGAGGTGAGGCCAACAGGTGAGGCAATAACCGCGCTGGAGTAACTGGCAACATGTTGCTAAAAACACAGTAATAAAAAAACACTGTGGAGTAGCTGGAGGAAAACCACCCAGATCAGATATGGCTCAGAGGGGAGCTGTGGAGAGGGAGAGGGATGGGGGTGGGGCGTGGTGTGAGCTGAGATAAGTGGCACCTTTGGGTGGTACAGAGGTGGATAACTAGTCATATTTCAACAGCCCTCAAGTCTAAAATGCAGCAATAAAACGTATTTCACTCAGGAGGATGGGGCAGAGAGGCATAACTGTGTCTGCCCAACAATTCATGATGTAGAGATAACACATACTTACACGCAGGGTCAAATAAAAGGCATCAGTGTGTGTTGTCAGAAGGATGAAGAGATTATTGATTAACAAAATCCAATAATCATAATTGTAATGTTACTACAGTTTCTAAACAGGCACTTGCTGCAGTGTGTTATGGCCCAACACGCACCAGTAATCCACAGTGATATGATGAAACAGTCCCACCTACAGGTTTATTCACTTGCCTTTCTGTATCACATGATCTTCATCTGCAACAGTAGTTTGCTCATTTGTAATAGCGATGGATCTGTACACAAGTGAGCACTGAGCATTTCAAAATGATTAAAAAGTAATGGATAAAAGCATAACAGCTGCTGAGCTTGCATGGAAACATCCATCCCCATGAAAACTGAACAAACTCCATCTGCTGATGAAGACTGTTTGATATGGCTGAAAGCACCAGAACTAGTTAGCTGAGATCGTTTTGTCAGGCTACTATTTCCAAGGTCATGGCGGAAGTTTCATGTTTATCTACAGTAGCCTGTAACAAGTCATGTGGAGGTGTACAAAGCACAAGCAAGGGGTTAGTTTGCTGTATTAGAAATAGATATTTCTTAGGGCTTTTTTGCCTTTAATCAATAGGACAGTTGTTGTAGCGTGAAAGGTGGAGAGAGAGGGAATGACATGCAACAAAGGGCCGTAGGTGGAGGCCAAGCACATGGCCGCTGCAGCAAGAACAGGGGTGCTTGCTCTACCCGGTGAGCTAATGGGCACCCCATAATACCTGTATTTTAACAGATATTGTCACTTTCTGAAGTCTGCTGTCAGCCGGTCAGTTTTTACTTCACCAGTGCTCCAATGATAGACAAAGAATGACTGTAAAAAATGTACCTAAAAACATACACACCCATTTAAATCAACAAAGCAGGATGGTGAGAGCGGCAGCCATTTTGAAGTGCACCAGTGCCTCTGCAACTTCCATATAAACTTCCATATCAAAAACCGTCTTGTAAACTTGCAGTATGCAGTCCCTCTGAAAACGGAGACTTTTCGCACATGCGCATTATGTTTCCAGTCACTAGGCATGCGCGAGAAAGTCGACCATCACAAAAACAATGGCGGACTCCTGAGTTCTGTTTGTGCTGCTCACCCTATTGAATTTATCAACGCTTCTCCAGCAAAGTGTAGATTTACTGTAACAACTCCACCTTGTCCAGACAAATGTTCGTGCGATTGCCATTTTGTTTGTTTATACATCACTGCTATGTAGAAGGAAGTGCATGTGCGCAGGCGTGTGTTGTTTCATTGCAAAGTCACACCGCCAACTACTGGCCCGGCATGTATACTGTAGCATTTTTGGTCATTTTTGCGGCTCCATGTGCACGGCGGTTGTTATCAAAACGTTGTCGTCTGAATGCGGAAAATTTTCAACACGAAAATGAGAAATGATTCCGTTTTCAGTGGATCGTTTTCGTGTAAACATGGCCTAGATGACTAAGAAAACAAACAAAGACGGTTTTGGTAAGGTTTTTTTTTTTTGTTTCTGTCAGGTTTGAATGATATGTATTTTACAATGAGTTGACAAGGCCATTTAAGCTAACATTATATTTAGTCAAAGTTCTCAAAATAGTGGGTTTGACACACTTTACAGCCCAACTAGCATGTGTTGTCACCATTAACAACAAACAGGAATCGGCATTATCTTTTGAGCACGATGGCAAACAGTTCAATGTCTGCTCTACCCTCATTCTATTTTTCTGAACTTGCTTGAGAACTTGCTTCACTGTACGATCATTGCGTGGTCGTTATGATGCTTATTTAAATTATTCAAGTGTATTTTAACTTTTCTTTAACAAACCTTGGCTCATATTTCGTACTCGTACTCGTCCGTACTCGTCGTCCTCCGCTTATCCGGGTCCAGGTCGCGGGGGCAGCAGCCTCAGCAAAGAAGCCCAGACAGTCCTCTCCCCAGCCACTTCCATCAGTCCCTCCAGCGTGTTCTGGGGCGGCCCCGAGGTCTCCTCCCGGTTGTACATGCCCGAAACACCTCCCAATGGAGGTGTCTGGAAGGCATCCTTACTAGATGCCCGAACCACCTCAACTGGCTCCTCTCGATGTGGAGGAGCAGCGGCTCTACTCCGAGTCCCTCCTGGATGTCTGAGCTCTTCACCCTATCCCTAAGGCTGAGCCCAGCCACCCTGCGGAGGAAACTCATTTCGGCTGCTTGTATTCACGATCTCATTCTTTCGGTCACTACCCAGAGCTCGTGACCATAGGTGAGGGTTGGAACATAGATCGACCGGTAAATTGAGAGCTTCGCTTTCTGGCTAAGCTCCCTCTTCACCACAACGGACTGGTTAAGCGCCTGCATCACTGCTGATGCCGCCCCAATCCGCCTGTCAATCTCCCGCTCCATCCTACCCTCACTCGTGAACAAGATCCTGAGATACTTAAACTCCTCCATCTGAGGAAGGACCTCCCCCCTGACCTGGAGTGGGCAATCCACCCTTTTCTGGCTGAGGGACGGAAACCACATTGCTCCTCCTCAATCTGAGGTTCAACTATCGACCAGACCCTCTTCTCCAGCACCCTAGAGTAGACCTTACCGGGTAGGCTGAGGAGTGTGATCCCCCTGTAGTTGGAACACACCCTCTGGTCCCCTTTCTTGAAAATGGGGACCACCACCCCGGTCTGCCACTCCAGAGGCACTGCCCCCGATGTCCACGCAATGTTGCAGAGGCGTGTCAGCCAGGACAGCCCTACAACATCCAGAGCCTTGAGATATCCAGGACGAATCTCATCCACCCCCGGGGCTCCGCCGCCTCGGAGTTGTTTCACTACCTCAGCAACTTCTGCCCCAGAAATTGGACGACCCGCCCCCGAGACCCCTGTCTCTGTTTCCTCACTGGAATATGTGTTGGTGGGATTGAGGAGCTCCTCAAAGTATTCCTTCCACCGCCCGACAATGTCCCCAGTTGACGTCAGCAGCTCCCCGCCCCCACTGTAAACAGTGTGAGCAAGTTGCCGCCTTCACCCCCTGAGGCGCTGGACGGTTGACCTCATGGCCTTACCGAACTCCTCCCACGCCCGAGTTTTTGCCTCCACGATTGCCGCTGCTGCGCTCCGCTTGGCCAGCCGGTACCCGTCAGCTGCTTCCAGAGACCCACAGACCAACCATGCCCTGTAGGCCTCCTTCTTCAGCCTGACGGCTGATTCCCAGAGTGGCTGATTACCGCCGCGACTGGCCCCAGTGGCCTTGCGGCCACAGCTCGCAACCACCACCTCGACAATGGCAGAGCAGAACAAGGCCCATTCGAACTCAATGTCCCCCTCTGCCCTCGGGACGCGGTCGAAGCTCTCCCGGAGGTGGGAGTTGAAGATCATCTGGACAAGTTCTTCTGCCAGGCGTTCCCAGCAGACCCTCACTGTTCGTTTGGGCCTGCCAGGTCTGCGCGGCGTCTTCCCCCACCATCTGATCCAACTCATCACCAGGTAGTGATCAGTTGACAACTCTGCTCCTCTCTTCACTCGAGTGTCCAGAACATATGGCCGCAGGTCAAATGATACGACTACAAAGTCGATCATTGACCTGCGACTTAGGCTGTCCTGGTGCCACGTGCACCGATAGACATCCTTATGTTTGAACATGGTGTTAGTTATGGCCAAACTGCGACCCGCACAGAAGTCCAATAACTGAACACCACTCGGGTTCAGATCAGGCAGGCCATTCCTCCCAGTCACGCCCCTCCAGGTCCCGCTGTCATTGCCCACGTGAGCGTTGAAGTCCCCCAGCAGAACAATGGAGTCCCCGGTCGGGGCACTGTCCAGCACCCGTCCCAGGGACCCCAAAAAGGGTGGGTACTCTGAACTGTTGTTCGGTGCATAAGCACAGACAACAGTCAGGACCCGTTCCCCGACCCGAAGGCGCAGGGAAGCAACCCTTTTGTCTACCGGGGTAAACCCCAACGTACAGGCAGAGAGTCTAGGGGCTATCAGAAAGCCCACCCCGGCCCTCCGCCTCTCACCCGGAGCAACTCCAGCAAAGGAGAGAGTCCAACCCCTCTCAAGGACTAGGGTTCCAGAGCCGGAACTATCTGTCGAGGTGGGGCCGACTATATCTAGCCGTAGCGCTCAACCTCTTCCACAAGCTCTGGCTTCTTCCCCGCCAGAGAGGTGACATTCCATGTCCCAAGAGCCAGCTTCTGTAACCGAGGATCAGACCGCCAAGGCCCCCGCCTTTGTCTGCTGCCCAATCCACATTGCACCGAACCCTTCTGGATCCCTCTGCGGGTGGTGGGCCTGCAGGGGGGGGGTTCATATTTGTTTTTTAAAAATATTTTCTATTACATAAAGTGACTGACTTTCGGTGGAAACACTCTGAAGACACTCACAATGTGTGTTGTCTAACCTTTATAAATAAAGACAGTGTGTGACAGATGAACAGACATACAAAGCACAGTTTTACATCTACTGTGGGACATCAGAACTTTTTTACAGGATTATGTAACACCTGGGACAATATGTGCTCCTGTGTGGCTTTATTTTATTGAAAAGGTTTGGAAGGTAAGAGAATACACAAAGACTTGTGATGGTTTAATGAACTGCTCAGTGTGTGTGAACAAAAAAGGTGCGAAGCTGCATTATTCTTTGGAAAAACACTCAGTGCACCATATCAATCAAACATGTATTGCTACAGTGAGGTGAAAACATCCCACTCTGGTTAATTTCATTCCTCTATTTGAAAAATTAGGACCACATATATGATCAGTTACAGTTGTGGAAATGTTTTTCCATGAGGCCTATTTTGCAGCTGTTGTATATTCTTTAAATGCATGGTAATCAGTCTTAAAATAGAATCGCTCTTGGAGAAACCGGATCTTCAAACTCTTGAGGCACTATGAAATTTTAAAAAAAGCGTAGAGTGAACAACATAAACACCATACATATACACAGGGGTCAGCAGCTCCCCCTCTGTTACATCCAGTGCAAAAGTCTAAGTCAAAGTTCAAGATGTGCCATCTTGATGCCTAAGTTTAGTTCAGCATGCAGCCAAGCAGTCTCTTTTCTCTCCCTTCTTATCTTGATCCATCTGGCATCTTCACAACACAGCTCAGAACGTCTTCGCCGAGGCCTCACTCAGATGTTTTAAAGTCTTTCCTGAGTTTGATCACAAACGAAGACCCCTGAAATAAAATAAGAGTTCGGATTAGGGCAGAGAGAAACAGCAGGATGTTAAGAAGGAAACTAACACTAGGTTTAAAATAAAAAACTGACAAGGCGGTGCACCTAGATCAGCACAAACCATACCGTACCACCAAAAGTCTGGGTGGTTATCATCCACCACAGATAAAGACTAACAGACTGAACTTGCCTTAGAGCTGTGAGTGAGAATTGACCTCCTTATGTGGAGAGTCAAAACTTACTCAGAGTCTAGTGGCGACTTTATTCCATTTCTGTGAAAAGGTTCAGTGTAAAATGAAAAAAGAGGGTTGTAGGTTCAAGTCATGAGCGGAAAATGCACCTTGTCAGTGTAAGAAAATAATGTAATATGGTGTTTAAGAGGAAAAGAAATGAGCAACAATTTAACCACTTTGATTTCAGCCCTGACAGATCTGTCATTATGTTACGAAAATAAAAAAGAATCAATAAAATGCTCAGGTTTCTTTCTAGTCAGCTGATGAACTGTTCTTTCCCACTGTAGGCTGTTTCACTTCTGTACAGCCGAAACCCTTGCACTTGCCAAGAATTTCTCACGCTGAACCAATTTTGCTTGAGCGGACTAAACGGAATCACCCCCTTTGGTTTTCCCTTTTTATGAGTAAATCGATATGAACTCCTGTGCGCTAACTTAAAAGGCGAATCCAAGGTGATGAAAGTGCTGCACATTCCGAAAGGTGTGGCTTTTGTAGATAGAGTTCAGTATGGAGGAGGAGAGCTGCTTTGCAAAGAGGCCAGAGAGAGGCAGAGACAGAGCGCATTCATGGCACTAACACTAAACACTAAAGCACAACCAAGCAGTCAGTTGCTTTTACTTACACAGATACCACTGCGCTCGCTCACTGCAGAGCTTACTTCTTCTTCCCGCCTAATGACATATTTTCAGTTTTTTTCTTCTGTGCCTCATTGAACAAAAGACACACCTTTATGTTAGCAAGTGGCTGGATGGGTGTGTGTAGTGTGTGTATGTGTGTGTGTGTGTGTGAGACCCAACCCATGTGACACAAATTTCACAACTGATAATTAGTAGTTTAAGTAGCTCCAGGTGAAAAGCTGAAATGGTACTATGTAGATTGACTTGGATTCGTTCTCTACGTGCCTCCTTCTCACAGCAGGATACCTGTATTACTGCAATTGTTTTAACCAATAAACTAGATTAGACTAGACTGCCAGTGTAATCCAAACTAAATTTAATGTGGTATGGCCGTACAGGCACAAAAATATGTTTGTGACCATGCAGAAATGTCACTTTTGCCTGTGTGTGCAGGCTCAAACCACTCCTGTTCACTGTGTTTGTTGTCACTAAAAGTATCACGATAACAATAATATTCAGATATCCAGAATTCAAATGCACAACCATGAGGTGAAATATGCTCATTTGCTTTCTGGCAGAGAATTCATAAAAAAATGTAATTGAAATACATTAGTGTTTCACATGGAGTCTCTGCTAGTTGCCTCAAGAGTCTTAGGATAGAAGCAAAACAGAACATGATGCAGACTGTAATTTGAAGCTTCTTTTTTTGGGCTATATTAATAAAACTGGCTTGATCTGACTCGCAACTGGTCAGAGCCAAGATATATTTTGGCGCATGGCCCTCCATAAAACACAGAAATACTGCTTTTAGATGTTGCTTTTTTGAAGATGAAATGTTAGATGTTAAATATAGAGCTTTAGGGGTGTTGGTCAGCAGATTTTGTTACTATTTCACAATGCTGCGCTAGCTGTTTCCCCATTCCCAGTCTTTGTGTTAAGTTTGGCTTCCTTATATCAAATAGATACAGATGTGAGAGTGGCAGAAAGTGAATTAGCATATTTCCCAAAATACTGAACTGTGCCTTTACTGTAAATGGTTATTTTTTTCAAGTTTTCACATTGTGAAATGTCTCTTACTAACAAAAAAACAGTGATATTTTAACTCTCCCTACAACTTACCCACTCTGTGAGTGTCAAGTGATGGAGTTTGACATGTCTGTGATCATTTGAAAATAGTTTAACAGAGTATAACATAGAGATGTGTGGGTTTTTAGTATAGCTTGACTGTGCCTAAACCTAACTGTGTAGCTTTACTTGCCTAAACCTAACCATCATAACATTATGTTGAGTACGTAGCTTTACGATAAGTATAAAACAATGAGAATACCTACAAAAAAAGTAATGCACCACAATTAATTTATAATCCATGTAATCTTGAAGGCTATAATTACATTTCCATTGTGCTCATGGGAGTAAAGAAAGAAAGTCTGTGTAAGGAACAAACAAACACAGGACTTAACCCCAGGAAACTGGGGTTTGGGACGGTGTGAAACCAAGGAAACGTTGAGTTTATTTAACCCTATGGGCCCTAGATGTTTTTGGGGTATTTTTACTGCCTTTACTTTTAAGCTCATATCACAGTCATTATAAAGGCTACATACACATGCAATATCTTGTTTTTTTCCAGGACAATCTGGGCTAACCAGATTTGCCATCATTCCATGTCCTTCTATGTGCCTGTATTTTATATTAATTTTTATATCAATGAAAAAAACAAATCCGTGCCTAAATTCTTACATTTTTACATGTATCTCAGCATAGCAAGTTGGAAGTTGACATATTCTGCCATATATGAAGAGGGGAGACTCTCTGGAATCTGGCAATATAAGAACCATGATGGTGGGACATTCTGTCACTTCACAGTTGTCCAAAACGTGTGGTTTGTGCCAGGCGGACATGATTGCCAGCATTTTTTCATTATTGCAAGAAATTCCATTGACTCATTCACAAGTCAAAAATGTGTTTTATCTGAAAGAAACATGCAATATTTACATCTAAGATCATAGAAAACTAGTCAACAAAGTGCAATGATGTCCTCCAAGATAATATTTGCCACTTTGTTTGCAGTAAACAAAGTTTGTTGTTGTTTTTCAGTTTCAGTTATATATTGGGGGGACATTTTGGGCATTGGTGGGGGGGCACGTGTCCCCCTCAATGTATATGGTGACTACGGCCCTGTCAGCATGCATAATTAGGCTGCAGTTGTCTGGGTGCGCAAAGGTGAAGTGGCTGGTCTTGTCATACAAAGTTTGATGGAGTGTCAACTGGACAATATGGAGATATTTGCATCTTGAAAGCCGGACTACAAATGTGGATAGACAGGGAGAAACACACGCAAGCCTAAGACGTGGTAAGATAAGATATTCCTCACTATATGAAGTGACTGATAACAAGATCTGTATAATGGATTGTAAAGAAATTCGTCAGGTTTTTATTTTGTATACAACTGATCTGGATTTATAGCGTGATGGGATGACAGCACAATGATGTGTTATACATCTGTTATACATCATTTTATTGTAACTTTATCAGTTTTTTTCGCTGTGAAAACATTGGACTACCGACAAGTGCTTGGCCTTGTTGGAAAGCTACAATTCCGCTGTTTCACGTGACATGCGTGGCTTCTCGTCATGGAGAAAATCCACAGAGAAGAACGGGTGTGAATCTGGACGCACTATGCGTATGGGTTAAGGCACGTTGTTACCAAGTTTCTGTTCCAAAACCTAACTTATGAACATTACATTAGGTACATAACTTTATGTTCAATACATGATGACACCCAACCATGTGTCTTTTTCTAAACCTAACCTTATGTGCTTAGCTAGCTAGTTATCTAGCTAGCTAGCTGGATAGATCAGGCTGTTCTCATGCAGTTTGCACATGTATGTACGAAAAGTTAGGCAACGATTAATTCATAACCACGTAATCAGGAAGCTGTGATTATTTGGCCAATGTGCTCATGGGAGAAAAAAAAAGAAAGTTCGTGTAAGCAACAAACAAATACAGGACTTTATCCCAGCAAACTGGTGTTGGTGTGAAACCAAGTCAACTTTGAGTTACTTTAAGGTACTTTGTCAGCATGTTTCTTTCCCTAACCCTAGCCTACGAAACGATATGTTAAGTACGGAGCTTTACGTTGAGTGCAAAACAATGGCACTATTTGTGGGGAGCTAATTTGTTAGATATCATATACAAACTGTTGTATGTGCATTTTCATAAGATATCATCGGAACCATAGATAGATAGATAGATAGATAGATAAAATAAAATAGGTTCTACCTCTGTCATGGCATCGTCAATCTGTTTCAGCTCCTCATAGTGGTCTCGAGAGTCTCTCAAAGGTTGAACCATGATCTCCTCAATCTGAGGGAAAAGCTGTTGGGCACCACAGTAAGAACATTCATTGTAAATCAGTGTCTGTATTTGTAAAAGAACACATCTTACAAACATATCGCCCTACCTTCATGACAGTCTCAAACATCGGGATGAGGACAAACTTGATGAATCCAATCTGAGCAGTGGGTTTGGTGACTTTATCTCTGTCCATGAAGGGAGCCACAGGGAGACCCTCTGACTTCTCCCTGTCACTCTGGGAAGCACAAAAGTGGAAATATTGTCATTTGGTACAAAACGTCGATGATCATGGGTAGCTATTTTTTTTTACAATGTGCTTTTTCTTTCATCTTGAGTTGACATGATTGATTTAGAAAATAGATTTCCATGGGTTATGTGAAAGCTTTGGTTGAGGTCACCTGCATGAAATACTCCTCCAATAGGCAGTCCACCCATGGCTCAGCCACCTCAGTGGGCCTCACTTCGTTGGAAATGTCACAGCACTTGATCAAAACCATCTTCAGCTGAAAACACATGCACATGTAAAAACATAATCACATATGAAACACAGGACGTAGAATCCTTTGTATCATCATATGCATACATCATCATCTCCTTTATGTCTGTGACTACTCTCCCTATTACACTAATACAATCCATTTGGCCTTTCCTGATTACAGCACACTCAACAGATATAGGCATGTGCAGAGCAATAAACAGCTGCTGTCGGGTGGAGATGCAACGTGATCTCATGAGGCATAATGTATACATACACATGTCACATGCTCCTCATTGGTGAAGTCAAAGTTATCCACTTTTTGCTTGAAGGAGTCTAGTATCTCCCCATGTCTGGCCATGTCGGTGGCCAGGATGAGGGTGATGATTGCCTGGAAGTATAAAAGCAAAACCAAAGTCTGTTTGCAAGACATTTGCTTACATTTAAAATCAAAATAGTCTTTAAAGAACAGTGTGTTAGATTTAGGGGGATTTTGTGGCATCTGGGGGCGAGGAATGCAGATTGCAACCAGCTGAAACTTCTACCGGTTAGAATTCCCTCAGTGTTGATTGTTCAGGAGGTTTTTATTGGAGCCAAATTATCCGCAGAGGTCTCCTCCTCTCCAAAACAAATGGACCTGGTGATTTAAAAAGCTAAGAACACTAAATAAAGCAGTTTTAAAAAATCAGTGTTTTTCAGTGCTCTCATTATGGTGGGGCTACTTACTATGATGGCCATTGTGAAAACACAAATAGCCCTATCTAGAGCCAGTGTTTGTTTGCAGGTGGCTACTATAGAAACACGTAGACGCAGACCCACTTCCTTTGTAGATGTAAATAGCTCATTCTAAGGTAATGAAAACACCACTGTTCTTATTTTCAGGTAATTGTACACTAAAGAAAACATGCATATTATATTAGATTCTATTTCTGCCAATACATCCCCCTAAATCCTACACACTGAACCTTTATGATGAATATTTCCATATGTTACAAGACTGTGTAGGATTAAGATAAAACTCAGCATGCTTGGCATGTATAGACTAGTGAGAGTTTTACATCTCACCTGTCGGATCTGTTTGAAGGCCTCAGGATCCACATTTGCAAAGATATTGCACTCAGGAAGAGAAAGGATCTGGAAGGCCACGGCACAGTGATGGTTCTCTAGTGGAGATATGTCGTTGTAGCGCACTGCCAGCTCTGTGCGGGCATTGATTTGGTACCTGGTAGATGGATGGCACGGGTGAATGGATGGATTGATATTATATTCCCATGAAGCTTCCCTGATAAGAAAGGTCCTGGCCTTCCCAAAACTCCGACCAAAAACAACACAATAATGTGAATCGGTGTGTTTTCATACCTGAACTCTCTCCATGCTGAACTAGTTTCACAGTTCATTGACAACAGTGTTGTGCAGAGGATGTCAAAACATACTGGGGTCAATGGGCATCTGCAGCGCTACATCTGTCAACACACCTACGGAGAGAATAGTGGGTCTTACGTTTTGTTGTAGCCAGGGTGGTCCAGGTCATGACACACTGCAGCTGTCATTAGAATCCCCATGTCTGTGAGAGTCAGCTTCTCCTGGACAACAGTGCAAATGAAAGGTGTTATTACAAACTATCCAAAAATTGGCAAAATGTCCAGCCTGCGTAGTCACTGGATGGTCAAACAAAATAGGACTTGTAAGAACTTGTGAGCATACCTGTAGGTTGCAGAGGTGAATCATGCCATACATCATCTGACTAACGCAGAAGCAGTGGCGAAAGTTGTGGAAAGGGTTGTTACGGTAGTTCTCCTGAATTGCCAACTAGAAGACAAGAGAGATTATTCATTCAGTATCTCCAGCCCTGTACCATTTGAACATGGTTTTGTTGTCTGTGTCAGAAAACTGACACTACTCATAGTGACCCCTCTGCTTTTCCAGCAAAAGCTTGTTTGAAATCTGCACCATGTGCATGGTATTATGCAGAATATTCATGTGCTCAGTTGTCCTTTACAGCTCTGACTTTACCAGCCAGCGTTTGAGTGTGATCGGGTTCATGTTGAATTCCTTCACCAGTCCCAAGTCATGGTACATATACTCCAAACAACTTAGCATCTGCAGCCACAAAGGGAGAGAAAGGACATTTAGTCACTTGGATAACATAGAATGGAACTGACTGATTGAGTTATAGAGCAGCAATGTCAACAAACCTCGTTATGTTCCCAGTGCCAGACATCAAACGTTGGCTTCTTGAGCGCCTCAATGGTCTCCTGAGACAGTGTGTACTGTATTTGCCAAATAAACAAGACCATCACAATGTCTATAGAGCTAGCTTTGTCCAACAGTAATGAAAATAATAGTCCCATTGGACGTACCTTCGGGTAATTGGGGACATCTCGTCTAGGAGTGACTTTCTTCCCATCGTCTGAGAAGTTGTATTTGCATGGACAGTTCACTCTGAATTAGATTTAAAAAATGAAATAAAAAGAAAAAAGACATGATTTGGTCTCTGTTGACATCTGTAAGTAAGATGTCTAAATGTCTAAAGGCCCAGACACACCGAACCAACATTAAAGAACTAGTGTTGACGAAGGCCGAATGTTTCGTCGCATTACCTTGCCCAACACATTCTCACTCCAACTTCATCACATAATGACGTTTTGGCCATGGACTTTCCACGTCCATATACGACGTGCAAGGTACTCTGGGTGCATTGGTTGTTGATGTTCTGGGACACAGTGTCAAATTCTGCTCTTTCAAGATACACTTCCACTTTCACAGGAAATTTAACGTTTACATACAGTCTCTTTCAAAATAAACGCACTACATCGGTACAACAACACTGCAAATTGACGTGTTTTTTTTTGTTACCTTCAACGACGAACATAGCTGGTTGGACTTAGGCAACAAAAGCATGTGTTCAGGTTTAGGCAACAAAAACACAGTTAAGTTTAGGCAACAAAAAAAGTGGTTAGGGTTAGGAAAAGAGAACAGGGTTTGGCTTTAGAATCTTACGGGACGTGAACACTGCTCTCTCAGGTGAAAGTTGGTGCTTGTTGGAACCACCCACCACAAATCCCACCCGCCGATGTTAAGGGATGCCTATTTCGTTGGTTTCTGATGCCCCAAGTCACTGCCCCAGCGCAGGATATCGACAACATCGGAGTGAGACCGTGCTACCTTGCCTGTAACTCAGCAAAAAAATTGCACCAACCGCAGACTCTCCATACCAGCAGGCAGCAGTAGTGTGTATTTGTTATTGAAACTGGGAAACCAGGAGATCGACAGGACAGACTCAAGATGCTAGTTAGCCAGTTAGCACATTAACAACACAACACGATGCTGATAGAATGACTGACATTCACCATACGCTAGCGAACAATAACCCCAACAAGTACGAACCATTTCTGCCAATGAGCTCAATGGCTAAAAAAGGATAATCTTACCTAATAAAACAAGTTTCAGTTTCAGTTACATTTCTTTTCTCATGCACTGAACTGAACTGCAAATTAGAGTGATTTCATTCACGGACAGACTCCGCTTTCTCTGATGCTGATTCAACATGCTGAAGCAGTTAAGAAAAAGCCGACAATGGGCCGACTACTGCTAACAGTGTGCGATAACACTGACCGGCGACCAACTGTTGACATGGTGTGTCAGGGCCAACTTTTTATTCATTTCACCTGCTGCCACCCCTTGAAGTCATCTCATCTCGTAGCTTCTTCAGATCATTTTTACACTTCTCAATCTCCACCACCTTCAAGCCCTCCACTGGAACAAAATGACAAGAAATATCACAGTTTCTTGGGATCCTTTTATTTAAACTAAAGGTTAACTATAAAATGTACCACTTACGTTCCACTCTCTTCTCCAGCATTGCTAGCCTGTTGGTGACCTCAGTCTTCAATTCGTTGATGCGAAAGGCTCTGTGAGAGGGGATAATAGAAAACGATAAGAGACTGACACATATATCACATGGTTCGTTGGTCATAACGACAAAATAAACCTGGAAGGGGGCCTAAAAAATAAACAACAAAGGTGAAAGAACTGATTTAAACTTGCCTCTATGGGTTGAAGCTTGCGTTATCACTTAAAGTCCCTGGTGTCAGGTATGTGTGTGAGGTATGTGTGAGGGTGGGGGAGGGCAGGCTTCAGCCATAACATAACAAACAACTGAGGCGTTACCTGCTGAACTGATCAGCCACCTGGGACAACACGTTCTGAAACATGTCCTCCTTCTCTGCAGACATAATACACTCCTGGTAAATTATCGTAAACAGCACTCACATTGTCAAGACTGCTATTTTCAAGCACAGTAGTATTTAAACTGTGGATGTGAGGTTGGTGCATGAATGTGTGTGAATGTGAGGTGGTTAGAGTGAAAGGAAAATAATGGTGGCAGCTTACCTCCAAGCTGACCAGAAGACAGAGGGACGACTTTGTACAGACAGCTGTGAGGAAAAACAGAGGAGCAGTTAGTATTCTGAATTCTTGGCATTGGCTTAGTGATTTCTACATTTCTTTTTGTTTTGTTTTACAGTTAATAGAACCACCACAGAGTCAATTTAATAACTGTGGTGTAGATGTGGTCAAAAGCTCTATGAATGCTACTAAATGGACCGGGTGGTGAGATCGTTTTGTCAGCTACTGTTTCCAAAGTTTTAGATTGTACAAAAAAAAGAAAAAAAAAAGTCTAGGCTCTAAAATGAGGTAGAGGTTTAGAAAAAAGATGACATAAGTATAGATACAGTAGAACCCCCTTATAATTATCTTACTCTCTGCTTTGCTATCAAGGGCCCGCCCTATGGGACGTTACTGACCAGGCATTATTAATCCACTTGACAAGGGCAGCTTCAACCGCAGGTGCCTCCCCATGTGCATTTGCTTTGCTTCCATCATTAACAGCCATGATTATTTCTCTGAGTTTGAGGAGATTAACATTAAACAAGGCAGCCTGAGTTTTGCTGCTGTATCTTGCTGGCTGATTTTTGGCAGTTTGTCATAAGCTTCAAGGAGACTACATTTTTCACTGAGAGGAAATGACTTTCTTTCTCACATCATGATTTCAGTATGCAAGCAGCAGCAGCCTCAGGCAACCAGCCGAAAGCAGAAAGGGTACCTCAAGGCAAAGTATCATAGCAGTAAAATACAAAAAATTGCACAGATTTACCCTTGTTCTAAACTGTTTTTCCATATGTTGTCACTTATTAAAAAATTGATTACTTGATTACTATGAGTAAATCATTTTTACAGCATTTTTATAGGAAAGATTCTGTCCCAAACTTTTCAATCCATATAAGCAGTTGATCACTGTAAAAGTAATCACTATAAGCAGGTTCCACTGTATGTGAGTCTCTCTTCAAATTGAATATATTACTTTGGTGAGTTGGTGGGCATGGTGGGATCTATGGAGACCATGGCTCCCTCTGGGTCCACCATCATAATAGCAGTGTTCCTGCAGGGAGAGGATCAGAGGAGAAGGGAGAAAAGTAGAAACACACAGTTTGGTATTGTTTTACACTATTTCTCAAACGATGACATCTTTTGAAATTAGTTTCTGTCTTTTTTCCCCCTGAGGAGTGAGACAGCGTTAAATATCATAGTAGAGTTAAACATAAATGATCTACATTCAACCATTTTGTTTTTTGTGATATACACAAAAATGCATATGCGCATTGTGTCTAGAGTAGGCCTATATTATCTCCCATAGGTGTAGATTTCAGGGGAGATATTTTAAGCATATGCATGTGTCGTCCTCTCCTGTAGCAGAGGACAAATACATATTGATGCAGAAAAGGCTCGTATCATAAAGTCTCCTGCAAAGTTGAAAATGAAACCCACACCCTTGTTTTCACCCATATTATAATGTAGAGTCAGTGAATATTTTGGATTGCTGATTGAAAGAGCAAGAGGGAAGAGTTCCAGCTGGAAGAACGGTGCATAAAAAGTTTATTTTCCTCAATAAAAGCAAAACAGAGCTCAAGGCAGACGATGACTCCATCTTGCTTTTATGATTTATTAGCGTGCTTTGACGTACACGGCCGTTGCAGTATGTCTTTCTGACTATGACATACAGGGTTTTTGTTGTATGTTAGTGGCTGCTTTACTGCATGATTATATTGTGTGATATTTTTAAGCAGCTTCATGTGATGGTTTTCAAATAAAGAGACAGATTACGGAGTGATGTAATATACACGGGAATAAACAAAGTGAGGAAACAAACCTGGGAATGTTAGACGAGGAACACAAGAGCTCCTTGATGTCACATGGGCTGCAGTGCCGACTGAACACCACCTATGAGGTAAACACATTTTCTATTAATTCATATGCATCTGACGGCAGAAGGCTTTTACATCAGATGAACATAGCAGAGCTGTAATTTATTATCACTTCATGTTTTATGAGAAACCCTCTTCTGTGGCCCACAAACCCAACACAGTGCAATCTGTGTCTTTCCAAAGGCACACCTGCACGCAAACAGCTGCTGTGGTTTTGATATAAGGCCTCAGTGTTCACACAGGGAGGGAAGGTTATCAAATTTCATGCGTTTTTTAGTCTGCCGAGTCACATGGGAACGCAAAGTAAGGTCGGCTCGTTTTATGGTTGAATACGGTCAAGTCAGCTGAGGGACCAGCGAGGGGAAGGGAAGGACAGCTGGAGTGTGAGTGTGTGCATGGAGATCTTGAAGATAGCAACATTATCCACGCCTGTCACGCAGTCAGCCCAGTTGACAAGACTTAGTACTGTACATGAATAGAGATTACATAAACTATGTATATGGCAAAAAGTGGGAGCATCAACCTTGTGCAAAAACTGTCGTCTTACATCTTGAAGGGAACAGGTGTAGCAGACAAACATTCAGCCTCAGGCCGTGGGCTTGGAGCTCTTGAACAGACATGTGTCATCGCCAGCTCTCTACTTGAAGCACTCTACATCAGCAGATCAGCAAGTGTTTTATTTATCTGTATCTCGGCACGTTTGGCCTCAAACCATTTGTTATGACTGTTTAAATGATCCCTGAAATGTTGCTCTGCTTGTTATGACTAAATAAGGAGTCAGTGTTGCACTTTACTTTGCATTCCACATTTTCTTCTTTTATGCATCACCACTGATTAATAGCTCAATTGTTGTGTATAACAGAGCTGTAAACCAGCAGAAATTAACACTTGTGTGTAAGCTGGTAACAACAGGGGTTCTGTCAGTAACAGGATGAGGCTAGCTGCTCTGAATCACCATCTAATTTCCTCCTTAGGTGAGGTTAGTCCACTGGGAATATCTGCTATGTGGGTCAAGGAGGCGAATTACAAAATGAATGATTTAATTGCCATAATTAAAGTTTTTTAAGGTTGTTTTATAAGTGAACCCATTATTAAATCCGTAATGCCCTGAAATAAAATAAAATTAAATTAAAATTAAAATAAAATGAAATTTAATAAAATGAAATACAAAAATAAAATAAAATAAAATAAAAATGAAATAGAATAGAAGTATTTTCTACGTTTCCATACTTATGGTGTAACATGCATGCGTTTACATTTTTTCCCAATCCTATTCATGGTATATGACACTATTTGCTGGCAAAAAAACAAAAAAAACAAAACAATAAATAAAATTAAAAAAAAATAAAATTAAAAAAAGCAAATTAAAATAAACAATAAAAAAATTCTATTAAAAGAAAAGACAAAAGTAAAAAGCTTAACTTTATAGTAAAACCAGTCCCTTTAAAACAGCATAAAATACATTTCCAAAATGTATTGCATACTGAAACTTGTTACATTTCTATTAAACAGGGGAAACTTAAAGGAATTTAACAATGTAAACAATAAAAAGATTCCAGAAATACAGTATTTCCCCAGAACTGGTCCCACCTTTTGCACTTTCCCATCCACATCCAGGTAAATGGTTTTGGGGGCATAGGAGGAGGAGCTGGAGCCCATGTTGACCTCCCTCTCCTCTCTTACACACCCGCAGAGACTTTGGCTCAAAGCCCCGATAAACAAACCTGATGAGCCAGAAACAAACAAGAGGAGAAACACGTTCTTTTTTTCACACACACACAACTGCATACATTCATGCAGATACAGCCGAGTGTATAAACTAGTGCATGACTTAGGATAGGAAAGCATCAGCAACAGGTGAGAATGCTCAGTTTTTTGTCAATGAATTTGATACGGCATAATTCTTAATTTCTTTGCTGTTGCCAGTCTTCACTTTTAAAGAAAGAAAAATAAAGAAGGAATAGAAATACAAAACATTACCATGGAAAATGTATAAAACCTTAGAAATAAACCAACCATTTACATGTATTATTTTTTTTCTTTCAATAAAACAAAAGACATAATTACACAGGTAATACAGTTTTATATAAATTTATATTTAAATATCACAGTCAAATTAACTGAAGAAAAGGATCAGCACTCACAGTGTCAGCGACGCAGCTTCCCCTGTGGAGACTGGAGGTAATGTCCCAGGTGCCAAGGATGCAGCTGACTCACATACGGACACAAACACACACAAAAGGAGAGCCACAGAGGAGGAGACAGAGGATGTGAGTGACGGAGAAGGTGAGGAAGGGTATGTGTGAGGGAGCCAGAGGGGTATGGAGTACTATGACTATAACAAGCACTCTTACCTGTTGCTAGGGGACAGTTACTATGGATAGAACAAAAAGACAACCCTAATGTCTTAAGTGGTGGAGGGCTTTCACCTGCGCTGGTTGCACACTTCTTATCGTAGTCTGATTCACTCTATCTCAGAGGGGGGCAGCAGAAACATACAAGCAATATGACTTAATCTGAAAATAAAGTGTTTACTGCACAGCTATCTGATTGAAACCTGGTTAGAAAATTACATTATGGCTGTGCTCTGTTAAAAAGAACAATTATTATTGACCTAAAAGGCAAACAGTGTATGCTGACTACTGATTAAAGCTCTCAACGATACATGGAAAATGTGATGTTATCAGGGGGACTCCACTTCTGACCAAGGGGGGCCTAATTTCAAGTGAGGCTTTGTTCTTTCTGTCAGCCACTGAGCCGCATGAGTGCTGAACTATATGTGCATAGTACATGCTGAACGACTGTATTTGTGGTTGTGGTTTGTTTTCTATGCACGTGTGTGTGTGATGCCTCCCCAGACCACTCATCCACTCCATCATTGAGAAGCAGCCTACAGATGGTTTTGTCAGACAAGTTCAGCAGACACTTAAGATGATTTTGAAGTGCATTTTATTTTTAGGAACAATCTCTAATTGATGCATATAATTTCATGTCATGGTGATTTTATTTTTATAGCCTATTTTATAGCCCTTGATTTATCTTGAGGGTCTTTACAATCTGTACACTGTCCATCTTTAGACCCTTAATCAGAAAATAAATCACAAAAACTCCCTCAAGGAAAAAAGGGAGAAACCTCAGGAAGAGCAACAGCAGAGGGGTCCCTCAACAGATGCTGTGGAGGAAGTATTAGTTCATGTTCATGTCATCATCACCCATCATTCAAAATACTCACAAGTAAAAGTCCTGAATTCAAAATCCCACTTCAGTAAAAGTAAAAAAGTATTATGAGCCAAATGTAACTACTAACAGTGTTAAAATAAAATATGTTTTATGCAGTAAAATGACCCATGTAACTGATGTATGATTCTAAATAACAATAAAATTTAATGCAGATGCTTTAATATATAAGGAGCTTTTCCCTGTTGCAGCTGGTCAACACAGAGCTAGACCTAGACCAAGACAAATCTGAGGGGTCATAATGTGACTAATGTGAAAGAAAAGAGGAATAAACCATACAAATTTGTATTATCTCTTTAGATGCTTCTCTGATCTTTGCTTTTTTTGTTATTAAAAATTGGACAATTTGACCACTTTGGGACTAAAAGAGACATTAAAAGGGGAAATGTCTCTTCGGTGGAACTGCAGCAACTCAAAGACATCTGAAACATGAAACCTAGACACTGCTTTTTGTGAAGTGTCTCAAGGTCACAGAAATCAGGAACCACTGGTGTAGTATTCAAAATTTGCATTTTATATACTTTTATTATACTTTTCATTTGTTTTAATGTAAATCTAAACAGTAATTGGCATCTATGGCTGTTAAATAAATGCAGTGCTAGGGGCAAATTCAAAAGCTGAAAAATGAAGTCGGCACCAAGTGGCAGAAACTGCAGTTCCTCAAATGGTCACTTGAGGCTGGCTCCAGAAGCGAGTCAATCCCCGTAGACCAAAATGACCAACTTTACAGCAAAAATCAATATGTGTACAGCCTGGTACAAAGAACTGTTCTGGTCTCTATAGCTAATATCTCTCTTTATGACAACTGTATGGGGATGATTTTTAAAATAAGTCACCAATTTGCATTTTATTAAGACTATGGGGGTGATCACACAGAAATGAGATGCTAGAGACGCGGACGCTTCAAAGATGCATGAAACGCTGGAAGCGCTTATTCAATGCGCGCTAGCTACTGGCTTCTGACGCTCAAAAAGTTTGTAAGTAAATAACTAACTCTAAGTATTTTAACTTTTCAGCGTCTACGCGCATCTAAAAAGAAGCATGAACAAAAACGCGCGTCTAAAAAGTTGCCGGAAAAACACCTATCTAAAAAGACGCACAGACCCAGAGCCATACCTGTTTGAGCCGGAGCATACAGATGAGGAACTCCATGTGTTGGATGCTGAGCGGGCGAGATGAGAGGCTGAATCCTCCGCTCCCATTTGGCTGCACAGAATGGGATTCGGTGCTACCATCGTTGGGGAGATATATCACCATGAGGAAAAGTGCCGCAGAGAGTGCATCACAATGAGTGAAGTTGCGTCTTCTTTTCCTCGCAGATGACGGTTCGGGTTCATTCTCTCCTGTTGCGTAGTAAGTGTGGTCCAGTCGCAAACTTTATAACTAAAAAAACTTTTCACTACTCTCTATCAACGAACTACTAACACTCTCTGCTGTTTCCTCCTCCTTCTTCCTTCCTTCCGCTGTCTTCTTTGTTGGTTTATTTATACACGCGAAACGCGTTCTCTGGCTGGCTGGATTGTCCGCTCGGTCTGCCGTACATACATGGCGGCACAAGATGGCGATCTCTCTAAAGCAAGGCCCTTGAGATATATATATGTATACATATATATATATATATATATATATATATGTATATGTATATGTATATATATATATAAAAGCATAATTATAAGGCTACGAAAACCAAACGAATTTTATTTTATAGCGATTATACACTTATATAAACATATTAATGGGTAGAATATTCAGATTCAGATTCAGATTGACAATAAACCATGCCAAATATTACACACTGGCCCTTTAAGGGTGGGCTGTGTTGAGTGACAGGCTATCTGCCGGTAGTGTCCTCGGCTTCTCAGTCAGAACCACCCCTCGATGCTCCACAGCTTTAAACCTTGCTCAAATATGATCACTCCCCCCCCCCCCCCCAAAAGGCAACAGCGGCCAAGCCCAAGTGAAGGATTCAAAACTGAAATCCACAGACCAATGGGTGATGTAATGGTAGCTATGTCCATTATTTTTACAGTGCGTGAGTGCAATGAGAAGTACGTTATCTGCCCTCTGTAGCTCAGCAGAAAGAAAATAGTTCCTACATGAAACTGCTCTGCTCACAATACAGTCTGTGGATTATCTTGAATAACCAGGTCAAGATTTCTGGAAAGAGACATTGCTGTTGAGTATTTCAAAAGTTTTATTTTTTGGTGCTTTAAGCACCACAAGCTGAGTGACATCTAGTTCCAATATATTCAAGAGAAGGCAGACATCCCTACAGTCAATATCTCCAACACTTCAACTCATGCTTTAACAATCTAGATTGATAAATAGCACTACAGGTAAGAGGAAAGATATGACATTTTGATTTTGGGGTATGCTGTCCCTTAAAGTAAATAAAGTACACAGGATATAATATATAAGTAAATATTAAGTGTAATTAGTCAGAAGAATTTGGGGTAAAATGTAACAGTGGGTAAAAACTGTCCATCAGAGAGGACATCATGCAACTATTTTATTTTATTTTATTTCATTTTTTGCTCCATTGACCTCCATAAAGATCAAAGTCAGCATTCTACTGGAGGACTACCTGCTACTGACTACTGACCTAGACACAAAAAAGGCAAGGTAAGAGCTTTCCAACAATAAAGTCACCCTCCTATACTGGGAATTTCAAATCAACAGGCTGGTGTGAATGAGGACACCAGCAACAAAGCTCGACCAGGCAAGAGGAGGAGGAGGTAATTAATTAGAGAAGGAGAGCATCATACATGGTCCCTTTTCGACACATAGGACACCTTCTCCCTGCACACATGCACATACACCGACGCATACACACGTATTGCAGATGTGATCCTGCTCCCCAGAGTCTAATTACTGCCAAGCCTTCCAAGCTCCTCTGCCATGCTGGAGGAGAGGTGGATCATGATGGGATAGACTCTATGACTAATAAAAACGTGACTTAGAAATAGACTGAAAGCAATTTCCAAGCTCAATAAAAATCTCCCACTTTCATTATCTGTGGACATTTCATTTTCTACTTATTGTAAGCCACGAATAATTATGCACATGTTTGTGTGCTTGTTCATCTGTGCTTGTGTGTGCCCGAGATGCTGTATGCGTATTCATGAGTCTGTGTGCCAAGGAATAAATTGTGTTTCCATTAGAACAAAGACGGCAAAGCTCAGATCAAAACATGCGGATCTGGTGTGCTTATGTAACCACAAGACTCATCACACCTTCCGTAACGGAAGACACATTTCAGGATAAAAGCAAAAAATAAAATCATGCAGATTTTCATTACAAAAGGCGTCCAGCTGGACCTCTGAAGGGAGCACATTATCCTGATAATAGTGATGGACCAGGCCACTTTGTGTGTGTGTGTGTGTGCATTAATACACTCCTTTACAAGCTTGTACCTCACAACCATTCAGCACATCTTTTAATCTTTAATCTGTCTGGTCTTTTTATTCCATGCTCCCTCACAGTGTTTTTATGCAATGGAAAAAACAACTGAGGATAAAATGAACCCATATTAAGTAATCACTTCCCTCATGCATAGATACAGCTGCCTAAAACCATTTGTTTATTTTCAGGAATACTGTCCGTAATCAGGAAGAGCCTGTTCTTAGAAAACCAGACTGACCACACATCGTTGACTTAAAGCCTCCTTTTAAAGTTGATTAGCTCTCATTATCTATATTTATTTATATCTTTTGTTCATGATTTAGATAGAACTGTGAGTTCAAGCACAGCCTGACCCTCATTGACCTTCAAATGTGAAGTAACAGAAGCGCAAGAGGCACTTTGTCATCAGTCAACCAGTTGTTCTTGGATGCCGTCTTTAAAGCAAAAGGGGCAAAACAATAATGACACGTTCATAGCATGAAACATAACTTTGCACAATATGTCACCAACATATCATATGTCAGCTGCTACATTTTATGGATTAAAAGTGGTAAAGGTAAAATATTTTTTCAAGTAAATCACTTCCTGACAAGTGTGCGTTGAAATAAAGGATTTAAAGAAATGTGTGGGTGACACCTAATGGACAAGGTGGGACTTACACTCATACTCCATAATGGCAGATCCCACTCAGCCTCAGGTTTCTCAGAACGTAAAGCATTTCTACTTTGTTAAAAAAAAAATAGTAATAGCCTAAGTAAAGGGTTTTTTTGTTTGTTAGTTTTTTGCAGAGTTTGTGGTGGAGAATGTGACAAAATTGATGACAAACCGCAAACTATTTGAACTGCTTTTATTACCTTAGGTTATAGGATGACCTAATGGTGAATAAGAATACACTTTGTGGTTTAATTGTTCAAAACAAAAACAAAAACAAAACAAAAAAAAAACACCTGACCCAAACTATTAACTTACATATGTACAGGTACTTATCAAAATCTCCCAAGATATTCATAATTCAAGAAGCAAAATATATACCAGAGGTGGAAAATCTTCACTGTCTCAGCATCATTTCCATGATCTACTACATGCTGGTGGACAGAATATAAATTTTCACATGACTTCAAAAAACTACAGGGATACTGTGCATAGCCATAGAGACATCGATGATAAATAATGGCATATGAAGAGTTAGCTGACAGTGAACTCATCTCTTATCCTAGTGCATCAAATCCATCACCCTTGTGGCAGGATAACAGAAGACCAACAAACTACACATGACTTTACATATCGCAGAATGAAAACATACATTCGAGCAGTTGTCACTGCTGTGATGGACAGTGAGTCTGATCACAAGGGTCGGGACACTCTGCCTCTACAGGCAGGTGGCTGGTGGGGATGCCTACTGGCGGACGGACCTTTCTTATTGGGCTGAAGCTGCGTGGAGATGAACCAGGGGAGTGAGCAGGTGAGCGGAGGGGGCGTGGGGGAGGACCTGGAAGGGGCTGTGGGAGAGGCTGTGCCAGGGGAGAGGGGCTGCGGGGGTATCTGCGAGGGGTAGACCAGATGGGCCGCTCAGTTCTGTTGGAGGAGGGGGGAAGCACTGGAGCATAGGTAGCAGGGATACTCATTTCTGATTGGATGCTGGCATTGCCAGAACATTCTTCTAACCGCTCCAGAGTCTCCTGAAACAAGACGAAGATACATGTGTTACAATCACCATCAGGTGTGGTGTTTAATCTATGATTCTCATTTTAAAGGAATACTTCACCCGCAAAATGACAATGTGTATATCAATTACACACCCCGTATAAAGTTCAGTTCATGAAGAAAACTTTTCTCGCATGCCTCCATGGTGAGCAAACAACCCAAAAACTAAAAAAAGTTCTTGACGAACTCAAGTCATAGGGGATTGTTTGACTCTATCAAAACATCCATTTTTAATTCCCTCACACAACTCATGCAGGATAATCCGAGTCTCATTTAGTGCACTCAGTACTTTCCAAATACAGGCATTTCCACGAAATCATTACTATTTAAAATACTTCCACATAAATAGTCTCACACACTAACAAGTAGCACGCCTGGGCAAGCATATGTGTTTGAACTCTGCCAATGGAATGCACGAGCAGAGTTCAAACACTGCAAGTGTTTTACCTAAATAGTGAGGCTTTAGTGAAAATGCATGAGTTTAGGAAGTACTGAGCATAGGACTTGATGAATGAGTCTTGAATTGTACTGTTGTGAGAGAGTTCTCACTCCCAACTCGTCAAATACTGCCGCTTTGTCAGTGGACGCTGGTGTCAGACGCGGACACACAGAGGCACCTTTCGCGGTGGTATGATACCCACAGGGCGGCGGCAGTTTGTAACGCAGGCAGCAACTACTGTAATATAAAGAGCGCTGTTTGCTTCCTGTGTGATAGTAAGCCAAACCATGATGTTGTTTTCTGAACCTAACCACAAGCCTACATGCTTTTGCCTAAAGCTATGAAAATAAGCCTAAAAACAAAGTGTTGTACCTATGTTCAAAGTTGATTTTGAAAAAACACTTTATGCATGTAACTAGCAGAAACTGTACATTTCCTGTGAAAATGAAAGTGTATCTTGAAAAGACACAATACATTAAACAAGCGTAAATTGGGGCGTCGGTGGCTTAGTGGTAGAGCAGGCGCCCCATGTATAAGGCTGTTGCCGCAGCGGCCCAGGTTTGACTCCAGCTTGTGGCCCTTTGCTGCATGTCTCTCCCTCTCTCTCTCCCCCTTTCACACTTCACTATCCTATCAATTAAAGGCAAAAAAATTACCCTAAAAAATATCTAAAAAAAATAAAATAAATAAAAAAAAAAAAAACAAGCGTAAATTGACACTTTGTCCTGGAACATCCAAAATAGATGCAGGAGGGTACCTTGCACACCATATTTTGGTGGCTAAGTCTGCTGACAAAACAGCAGTATTCAATAAGTTGGGATGAGAACATTTGGAAAGTTTGTACACAGATGTTTTGATATGGTTTTGCTGTCGTTAAACACGGTTGCCTATGACTTCAATACATCAAGATTTTTCTGTTTTTGGATTTTTCGTTGACCGGAGGCATGCATGAAAAACTAGTTTTCTTCACAAACTGAAGATAACAGGGGCTGAGTACTTGATATACAAGTGATCATTTTGTGTGTGAAGCATTACTATAGTACTAACAACAGCAACCACACCAGAAAACAATCAAACAAACAAACAAACAAAATTAACTGGGGCTCTATGAATGGTAATGCTCATCTGTCGTCAGTCCAAAAATGATAAGAAATTGCCTTGAAATTTTATAGTGAGATATCCCTGATGATCCCCTGACTTTTCCTCGAGCACAACCAGCAGGTTGACATTTCTACCTTATAGAAAATATTCTGACAAATGTTTTTGGATGGATTAGCACAAAATATCTGCAAACATTTGTTGTTTTCAGAGGATGAATCCCAATTACTTTAGTGATCCCCTGAGTTTTCTCTTGTACCATCGTGAGATTGACATTTGTGTTATTTAGTGAAACGTCTCAGAGCTGCTGACATGGCTACAGACTATCATTTTGTTTCATGGTAAAGCTGTCAGTGGCTCACACAGATTCTAATTGGAAATTCTGGAAATAAAAAGATTGACTTACATCTTCATTGAGAACATAAAGAGGCATGGGACTCCTCCGACCAAGTGTAGTTGGTTTGGGAACAACATCAACTGCAAAACATGTATATATTTATTTGGTTGACTTTCTGCTGAGAAGTTAACTTTAGTGTTGTGTGCGTTTAACACCGAATACAAACTGTAACGGTGTACACATTTAAAGATGATCAGCTGCAACTGTTGCTCACCATCGTGGCCATTTTCACTCTGCTCCAAATAGATGGGAGCTCTTTGGGGGACGGGTCGATGCTTCTTTCTACGACAGGAAAAAAAAACACTATCAAAACTTTGCAGCTAAGCTGTATTTCACATTAACTACAGTTCACTGTTTTTATCACTTTTTCACCAAACGTCCAGAGTACAGTAACACTGCTGAGCTGCTTGAGAGTCTTGTCACATCCTCAAGGGCAATATCAAAGCCAATGAGAGAGGGAGGGAGAGAGAGTGGAAGCAACAGAAGAGGGAAAAGAGGGCAGAGAAGAAAGAGTAGCTCTCACTTGGATGGTTTCCAACAGGCACACACTGTCACCAGGGTGATGAGGAGGAATATGCCCCCGGTGGACAGGATGATGTATAGCGAGCTCCGTCCTAAACCAGAGTGATACACAGAGGCAGACAAAGACACAGAAAGAGAGCAAGAGAGCAAGAAAGAACAAGATGGAGAAGTTTGTGTCAGTAACAGCAGGGCAATCTAATTTCCCTTTAACTGAACCACTGACTTGTACCTTTGCTCCACATTCAACTTCAAAGCTTCAATCGATTTCTGCTTTCCTCTTTGACAGTGGAAAAGTACACTTTGCAGGAGGAGATAAAGTTGTGAAATAAATGTGTTAATTTGAAACATCCTCTTTTCTTTCAAACTTCAAGCTTGGCCAGGATTCGGAGCACGCAGAACATTTTTTTTTTCATGTTGCTTGCCAAGTCTTTTGAGTGTGCTGGCATGAATAAGGAGCAGTGAAGTAGCACATTAGGGTAGTCACTTTGAGACTTTATGTCGCACCGCTATGCATGCAGGGGGAATAGAGAGCAGTTTCAGGGGCCTGTAGCTGTCTCCTCATGCAACACATCATAGTGCAGCAATAATGAAGTCAGGATTACTGAGGTCCACTGAGGCAAAGCATCCTCCCTCCCCACCTGCCTTCCTTTTCTGCTCCCTCCTCATAAATAACTGTCCATTCATTGGATTAGAGTGCCTCTCCCTCTCTCTTGCAGCCTGACATGTGGCCCTGCGCTGGCGCCCAGTAACAGTCACTCGGGGCCAAGTCTGCTGCGCTCACAGCCTGGATTTGCTCTTGTTGTAAACAACATTGTTGGAGAGAAAGGCATGCATGTGTACGGGTCAGCGTGAGATGATAATTGCTTCTGATAGCTGCTGAAAATGGATGTTTGTTGAACAATTAGCTAAAGTATACAGTTCCCACAATCATTTTCATATCACCATTACACCTAGAAACCAGTGTTGGAATGTAACTAAGTACATTTGCTGGACTGTGCTTATTAAATATAGCTTTGAGGTACTTGTACAATATGATATATAACAATCTAACACTGAGAGGCCCTGAGAGGCAAGTGAGAAAAAATATTCTGGTGATCCATTTACTAAGTCTGATCCAAGCTGATTTCGCTCCTGTGACTTAAGAACAGGTGAAACAAATGTTTTTGTCGTGACAATCTCTCTAAGTTGTTTCGTTTCATCTGTGAAACAGGTGGGAGAAAAGTTCTGCCAGGTGAAAAAAAAGTTCTGCCAGGCTTGCTCTATCATTTTCAGACGCACTGACTGTGAAACACATTTTTAAACAGTTTGATACACTGCTGGGAAGAAAATTTGAACTCAAATATTAAGCAAACTACATAATGAGAAAAAGACCATTAAAGTTTGCATCAGCTGGCCGCAAAGATATGTGACAGAGTCCTTCAAACTGGGAGTGGATGCTGTACTCCACAGGCTGTCCCGGGTGAAAAATACATGTGCATACAAGTTTCTTAGATTATGTTTTTTATTTCATTCACTCATGTTGTTTCCTGTTTTACTTTGAAACTCACATCTCGTCTTGTTTCAGATCACTTCACTTCCTGTCCCTGTGTGTTTTCCCTCCCTTTTGATGGCTTCACCTGTGTGTAATTGTCCCCTCACCAGAGTATTTAGTGTGTGTCTTGTTTTCTCTCAGTGCTTTGCATGTCTAGCACTCCAGCCTTTTGTTTCCCTGTGTCCTTTTCATGGTTTTTCGATTTAGCCTGTAGATTGACTGCCTCTGCCCAGTGGCGTAAGGTAGTTGGGCCCCAGTGCACGCTATTTTGAGGGGCCCTATTAAGCCCTAGTTACAAGTTATGAAGCACACACACACACACACACACACACACACACACACACACACAGTTTTAGGTGTATATATATTTTAGCAACAGTGTGTCTTACTGGCGCTTTTACGTTACATGCACTTGCAGATACTTGATATTGGACACATTATCATACATATTACACAGCAATCATCATTACATATCTGTTTAAGACAAATCTACAGGGCATGTATGGAAAATAGCACCATTTTTGTTTTAATGTGAGTTCTTCTTTGAACTCAGGCGTATTTCCAGGTAGCAGTAGGGGCCCTCCACCCCATCGGCCCCAGTGCAACCGCACTGCCTGCACTGTCTATATTTATGCCCTTGCCTCTGCCTCATCCCTATTGGATTTGTTTGCCTCCACCGATAGTCCTTCTGTGTACTGAACCTACCTTTTGACCAGGAAAGACTGTCTCCAGAGTCGTGCGCTTGAGTCCACTCTCTCCTGGCTCACCAGTTGTTACAATACATAGAAAAGCTTGGGGACACTTGCATTTCAGGTAACAAAAACAAGCATACCCAACAACATCGTGCAGAAGGACAAAAAACTGTTCCTTTGATCGGGAGACCGTTACGAACTAAAGGAATGGGCACATATTTAGACTTTATTATTGCCACAGTATGGAGTCACCACTATTTTTCTACCACTCATGTTCACCACGCTGGTAAATCATCCGCCAAAGCTTTTTTTTCTCACCTGTTTTCATGGATTTATCAAAAAAAAGAAAACAGAGAAATTAGAAAGACTATCTTGGCAAAACCAGTTCTGTAGTCATTAACACAGTAGGGAACATAATTTGGACGAGACTTAGAAAATTAATCACCAGAATTTTTTTCTCACCTTGAATTCAGAACTTTTACTTGTAGTGAAGCTTGTACTACTTTTACTTAACTAAAGGGTCTGAATACTTTTTTCCACCCGTCTGATGTTACTATACCATCATCTCTTCATCCTGTATGTAAACGTGTATAACTTGAGGTCCTACCGGTGTAACATGCCACCTACTGTAGACAGTGAGCCTGACAGGCATGCTCTTCATGCTGCTGATGGGGTTCTCCACTGTGCAGACGTATATGTCATCATCTGACATCACAACGCGTGAGATGGTCAGCACCTTTTGGTCATGTGAAAGCAGCAGGCGTGTGTCATTGGTCAGCACCTTGCCTCCCTTCAGCCAACCGTAGATGGGCTTTGTGCCGTTATCGTGGGAGCAGTGGAGGTTAAAGTGCTCGCTGTACTCCAGGACGGACTAGGCCATCATCTGGATGTAAGGTCTGGACGTGGGGACTGAGGGCGACAGGACAAAGACACGGGGGGTCTTGAGAGTGAATATTCGAAGACATGAGTGGATGGTTGATCTTTAGTTATGTAAGAACGTGATAAGTGTCTTAAAAAGAACAACACCAACACTGTGAATCACGTTCTGAATAGCTAAACTCCAGTATTACAATGACACTCTCTGGGGCATGATAATGTTTTTTTAATTTGTATTTAACTCCTCTTCAGGTTTCTGCTCTAAAATGCTCATATATTTTTGAATATGAGAGAACCCAGCTCTTTTAAAGGAAGATAATTTGGCATACCGTCCACAGTGAGCTCAATGTAGTGCTCTCCAGTGAAGGTGTCATCTGTGATGGAGATCTCGACTTCGTACGCCCCTTCGTCTGACAGCTGCAGGTTGTGAAGCAGCAGCGACCCGTTCTCAAACACCAGGATACGGTTGCGGTACTCTGGCCTCAGGTTCCCTATGATGTCCGTTCCTATGGACTGCACAACGGTGATGGGTTTCTCTTTGTCCCTCTTCAGCTGCCACTTAATCACAGGCTTGTCGGAGCTGCTGCTGGAGTAGCTGACTGACAAGAGGGCCTCTTTGCCCACCGTGCCCCTCACCACCTGGGTTTGGCTGGTCACATTCACCCCTGACACCTCACCTGGAAATAAAGGCAAAGAGACGGGAGTGAGGTCATCAGCTGAGGAGAAGGTAGAGGGAAATACAAGGACACTAAGAGGTTGTTTGAGGACAGAGTAGACAAAGGACAGTCACTTTGCAGCCTTTAATGCTCCACTAGCAAGCAGAAATCAGAGGAATCAACTATTCACACATGGTGAAATAATAGAGGACTTATGCAAAAACACACTAATTACTACTACACTAATCACTACAATTACTGCAAGGAAAAACAAATGAAAAATCAGGGCAGCAAAGGGGGATACAATGGCCCTGTACAATAACACAGTACGTTTAGGCAGAGTAAGTATAATATTAGGTAGGCCTGCTTTCATTTTACTTGAATATTCCTATTTTTAGACATCATACTTTCCACCAGTGTTGCACGCAATAAAAATGTGCACTTTTTACTATGTTGTCAGAGTTTGAACTCCCCATCAGTCTGCTGGTTTAACCGTTGTAGGTAGTCAAACCATTAAAATTAATCTTACTTGATGATGCATCCACAATGAGTCAATTGTACTTAATTGTTAATTGCTGATTTACTTCACTGGTTTTGCCAGGATTATCTGTGACTTGCTCTATCATTTTCAGCCACACTGACTGTGAAACACATTTTTAAACAGTTTTATACACTGCTGGGAAGAAAAGTTGAGCTCCAAATATTAAGCAAACTACATAATGACTGTCACCAAACTTTACTTTTGAGAAAAAGCCCTTCAAAAAGTCACGAAGATATGTGACCCCCATTGTACTTGATTGTTAATTGCTGATTTACTTCACTTGTCATTTTTTGACAAGATCAAAACACGACACAATGTTAAGATGCAAGATGGACTAACACATGAAATCTGGAGGTAAAAAAAAAAGAGTCTGCACACCAAGGTCCGATGCAATCATCCTATATTTTCATATATATCACATCACATCACATCATGCCAACGCTACTTTTCCGGCACTTTTTCCACCACTGCTGAAGACTTAATGCTGTATAAGACACAGTTATTTTTCAAAGGTGGACTCTGTAAATCTAATCCAATAAACCTTTTGACAAATTCAGCAAATATCTCCTCATGTGCTGAAAAAAATGGCGTTCATCTGCCCTAGTTCCGTAAATAGATGACAAACAAAGTAGCTGGGACCAAGCTACACAACACTATGCCGGGTACAGTCTCTCTTCAGTGTGCTCACCCACAAGAAATGTAGCTACACCATGATAGTCATGAAATGTAGATAACATCAGAGATATTACCAAAGCCTGTGAAATCACTCAGAATCACTGACTCCACCTTTAAAGGTTCCATGTTCTTTTGTGTATAATCACCTGAAAATTAGAGTTGCTGAGTTTTTGTTACCTCAGAATGAGATGTTTAGGTATATCTACATAGAGAGCAGGTCCTTGTTCATGGACACTGCCATGCTGCAGCACCATGTTTCTACGGTAGGCCAGAATGGGCAACCCCAATACTGGCTCTAGACAGAACCATTAAGCCACCGTAGTTACCAGCTCCCTCTGTGGCGAGTTGGAAAACACATATTTTTTAAAATGAAACTGCTTAATTCAGTGTTTTCACTGGTTTAAATCACCAGGACAAATTTGTTTTGGAAAAGAAGAGACCTCTGCAGGTAATTTGGCTTTTGGTAAAAACCTCCTGAGCGTCTGGATCTCAAGTTATCAGAGAAAAAAGGTGAGCATACAATCGCAGGTGCAAGGCTAACGGCCTGTCCTTGATGTGCCGAACAGCATAGGAGAAACACTAATACTGCTTTATTCAGTGCTTTTACCAGTTTAAATCACCTGGTCTGTTCGTTTGGAGAGAAGGACATCTTTGCAGATAATGCAGCTCACAGTAAAAACCTCCTGAATGTCTGGATCGAAAAAAAGGTGAGTGCACACATTGGCCGGTGCTGGGCTACAGGCCTGTCTGCTTTATTATTAGTTTTACTGGTTTAAATCACCTGGTCTATTTGTTTTAAAGAGGAACAGACCTCTGAGGATAATTTGGTGCTTGGTGAAAACCTCCTGAACAATTAAGACTGAAGGACTCCTCAGCTAGAGATCACACTTGGCACATGGGAGTTTCAGCTAGTTGCAATTTGCAATCCTTACCCCTAGATGGCACTAAATCCTACACACTGCTCCTTTAATTACCACCTTCTATGTAAAATCCACTGTTAACCAATTTTACACTCATGTAGGATGTTGGCACTAAAACATTTAACAAATTTCAGACTTTTATTTTAAGAAGAGGCGTACAAGTTAAAATGTTTTAATACCTTGATGCTTTCACGAATGGCCTCCATTCTTTAAGCTTTTGCCCAAGATGTTTGGCTGCCGACTTGATGAATAGAAATTCTTTGCATTTCTCCCTTCAAACAGCCATTAGTCAGCTTACTGTACGCTACCCACGCCAACAAACTCATACGCACACATGTTGCTTTTCACTAATCACTTATCTGTTGCTCAGAAACTCCCCCCAGGAATTCCTCATGTGACCCCTCGCAGCGAACAAGCAATGCACTAATTTTGATTTGTGTTCCCCAATTATCCTCCGCCTCCCACAGGGATACGAGGAAAAGGTATTACAGTGCGAGCCACATTTCATCCTTTATGGACGAGCCCTGTCTTGGAAACCAAACACAGCGAAGCTTTTATGTTCACAGTGGAGATTCCTATAACTCAGCTGTGTCGGGACACATGGAGGTCTAAACATTGGCTGCGGGCCTGCAAGAGGGCATCCTACTGTTATAGGGCCTCAGTGATGGAAAGATCAACCTAGGAGAGAGGGAGGAGAGTGAGAGTCGGCACTGTTCACTTTTCTTTGCAGTGAGGCAGTTAGCAGGGCATCGCCTCATTGCCGTGGTAACCATTTGGTGCGCCTGACAGGGGTTGCCAAGGCGATAAGACAAAGGGCATGATTGTTGGAACTAGTTTCCTCCCTTGAAAAGAGTGAGAGAGCGTTAGAGAGGGAGAGAAAGAGAAAGTCTTTGTCACTGGTGAAGTTGGAGATAGACACAGGATCCAGTGATCCTACCAAAACTGGCCTGGTTGGGTAAACTGGGCCCTTGGTACGGTCATGCAATTAAATCACACATTTTAAAACCAAACCCACACTACAAACTAAACTTTTGCCATTCTTTTACCCCTGATCTGAACTCATCTAAAGCTTCCCACACTCCAAATAAAAAGTAGGCCCTGCCCTTTTCACCAGCTCTGCACAAAACGTGATATCATCACACTTAACCTACACATCCCCTTCTTACACATCTACAATAGACACTCCAGGCTCCTTTGAACATGTGATGAGGGCCCAAATGAGAGCACCAACCATGAACGAATCCATTGTGCCGCCAGCCCGGGGAACACAAGGACAAGAGGCAACATCAGCGATTAACTTAACCTGGATTAACGTTGTTTCAAAAGAAGCATGAATGTGAGTTTTGATCTGATTTTTAGGCGACACAAAGAAACCCAAAGACTGGAAAACAAGACAATTCTAAAAAGATGATAATTAAAATAATAATGAGCACAGGCAGGGTTTCTTTGCTTTTTAATAAACTGTCACAAGTTAATAAAAATCCACTTGCTGTATCATGTGAATCGTAGCCCAGTGCCCAGGACATTCTTTATCCTCTAATCTGTGGAAAGCCTGACAAATGTTTGATCTTACCTGTGAAGAAAAGGAGGAGGAGGCCAAAGAGCGTCAGTAGCGGAGGAATGTCAGTAAAACTGTCGCCTGTAGAGGAGGTCTTCCTCTCCACCTTCATCTTGTGTCCTGGGCAGAGTCTTTCTCCCACTTAGTGAGCATGGTTTATCCACCCTGGGCACGTCTCTGCGGCTCAACACTCTCTCCACTGCCTGCCTGCCTGCAACACTGGCCTCTGCCTAGTCACACTGAGCCCCACTCTCCTCACAGCACCCCAGTCACAGCCAACAACAGCCAACTGTGCATGTGTGTATGTGTGTGTGTGTGTGTGTGTGTGTTAGTGTGACACAGAGACATAGTGTAGATGAGCTCCTCTCTTCCACTCTGCGTTTCCCTTTGAGTATGGAGCTCAAACAAGATAGTGTTTGTGTATTTAGGCGGTTATTTATCTTAATGTATGTGTGTGTGTTATTCTTTAAAGCTTCCTGTAGAAAAAAGTGCTGCTTTTTTTTCCCACACTTTAAGTAAACCATTAAGGGGTCGAATTCAAAATTGAGTTCAGCTACTTTGCAAGAATTCTTGCCTGGAAGAACAACAACTGTACTCCAGCTCTGAGAGGAGAACACTTAAAGCTCTGAAATGTCTGAGTTTGAAAAACAACTCACTTCCCCCCTCTCTGGCCCACTTTTCGTGACATTGTGCAAACTCCCCTCTGGACCAGAGCCTCACAATAAACTCACAATTTGTCACTTGGCAACCGGCCTTGTTGTTGACCCACAAGCTCATGCAGCCTCAAAGCATTTCTGCTGCTAGTCCCTCCAGCACCTGTCAAGTGTATGAACATGGATCTTTACCTGGAAATGTGAGCTATGTATAATAAGAGCAACAAAATATGAAACAAAAAAAGATTTGTTGTACCTACTCTGTCCTCTAGGTGGTGTTGCAGCTACATTAAGGCAGGGAATTGAAGTCAATGCTGCCATCAGCAGTGTTGGCCATGTTTTGACTTTGAAGTTGTGGCTTGTTTACATCATTTTTGCTCTTTTATTTGTCATTTAAAAGTCCAATACACATGTGAGAAGCAAAAAAGTAGTGCACCACATGGGTCAAAAGGCGTAAGTAAAAGAAGACGACAATGCCAAAAGCACAAAAAGTAAAAATACAATAGATTTAAATGCATTAGATCCACCTTCTGGCTGCCAATCTACCATTTAGTTTTAATTTCCTTGCAAACTTGACTGTCACTTTTTATTATATCCAACATAATGCCATGTAAATCCCCATATGTTACATCACTCATTCCCCACTCTGTTTTGGAGATTAACGCTTGTATGCATTGATGAGTCAATTGCATTATAAGTCATCTCCCTCACTTTAGAAAAGTCTTTTGTTTCAAAGTGAGGGTTTTTGTTTTTTTTTCCGAGCATTTTGTTTGACAACAAAAGGAGGTTTTATGCAGAGGAGGAAGCTGAAACGCAAAAGCTCCAGGAATGTGGGAACAGCTGCTGCTCACCACCACTCTCCCAGGGCTCAGACTACTGTGTAGTGGGCCATCAAAGCCGAACCTCTCCCCTCCACCTCTGCCCTCGATAAAAGCAGCACCTCCCTCTTCCTCTCATCTTCTAACGCACTCTGAATCAAGGGGGACTCTTTCCACTCAATACAGGAAGAGAGCGGGAGCACAGACAGGGCCTGTGTGTGTCTCACTAAGTTTTGGGTGTATGTGTTATGACAGAAACCATTATCAGGTTTGATCCACAACAAGACTAATGTCACTCTGTGTGACTCAGACGTACAGATATCACACCATGATGCTGGTAACACATCTACTGACTGTGATTCCTACATGTTTTAACCAATAAGGAACAATCAGGTGTTGATCATGCAGCTGTGGCATTTAAGCCCTCTCATTACTGATAAGTTATGTAACCTCCTTAGTATTAAAGATACTGTTACTCCTAAGATGGCGAGGCCACTGGCATAACCACTGGAAAGCAGATAATTGCGCCCCCTGCTGTTTGTCCTGACTTATTCATCTCTAATTATCACCCAGGAGACCAGAAAGATCTTTTCTCTCTGACAAGCTGTCTGAGAAAGAGCACAAACCAACCAAGCAGATCTTTCACATGATTTACTCCTAAAATAGTCCACGTTCGGCCTAAGTTGTAAAAGGGACAGAACCATTATTCTTTGCTTTACTATGTGCTTTACAAACTCACACTCCTTCACATGACTCACATTAGAACCTATTAAGTAACACAATTTTCAAACTCTTTTTTTTTAAAACCTGTCTTTTCCTTCACTCCCAGAATTCAATGTACAGCACAAAGTGGGTGTTGTGCTATGTTTGGAGGTGTGCAGGATATTGATTGTTCACCCACAGTCATTAAAGAGACAGGAGAACGTGGCCATGGCACCTCTGGGACTGAGTAAGAGAAAAGAGAGAAGCGGTCCATATAAAACCCGTAGAGGATGCTTATGTGAGCGTGGCGGAGGAGGATTGTCAGGCTGAGAAGGAAGCGCTTTGCACTCTGGCACTGCAAAACCACTGAGAGCAAGACTCATGTTGGTTGTTCCATCTCTGCAGCTGGTGACACAATCAACAACGCCTGTGTATATGTGTGCGCACGAGAGGGAGAATGAGTGACTTGAGTGGGATCTGCATACTAAAGTATGGGTTGTGTTTTTCCTGTGTGAGGATGCATGTGCAGTTTGACTTTGTGCAGAGTGCTGTATGGCTCAGATGTGTGTAGGTGGGCTGAGTGGGAGCACTGGGAGACTGAAGATGCTCTAGTCTGTTTCTCATAAAGCGCACAAGACTGCCTGGGCAAATGAAGCTAAAATTGTGCTGTTCTTTTGTGATTGAAACAACCTTATTGCAATAAAGGTGGACCAAAAAAGTATTGCAACAGGCGCACACATCACTCAGTGGTGGAGTTGATTATAACAACACAACTGTGGATGGGATAAAAACATTTGTAGCTGAATGCATCCAGGCTTCACAACTGCATACAATCTAATTATTTAAATGGCTCTAATAGCTATTATTATGAGTAAAAACCTGATTAATTTGTCTCGTGTAATTGACACTTGTAAAATAGGAAATGCACTGTTTCATGCTATGAATTATTCATGAGATTCCTTGTGCAAGAAGCCACACGGGAGACAAAACATTGCTCCAGCTTCGTGGAAACTGCTCCCTCCAATTAGCAGCCTCGCTTATGTTGCAGTGACACACAAGAAAAGAGCAGCTTTGGCTGCTGTGATGTCGTAGGAAAAATTTCAAATTTAGCACTGAAGAATGGGGACGGATGTGACAGATGGCATGAAAGGTACTGTTTGAAACAAGCAGGTACTTAACCTGAATTAATGAAGTTTAAAACAGACATTTCACTGTATATTTAAGGTGGATTTATTAGTGTAATGACATGACTCTACAGCAAAGTTCAGCAAGGTACTATTCAGTTCGTTGTAAAGCATGACGGCTCTGCAAACTTTGACAATGGAATTTCACACACCTGATTTAACATACGTCAAAGAAGTCAAACCCACCAACACAACAGAGCATACTGAAGCAATGTCTCATAAAGTAACGTTGTACCAAATGCATCTGGAAAAAAGTGTAATTACTGCATGCTTACTGTTCTGGAAGATCAGATTTATAGAAAATGCTTGAAAAGGTGAAAAGAGAACCTATCGAGGCGACTGCAATCTGAATTAAGTAACTTAGAATAAATAGAACATACATAGCTATTTTTCCTTTAGTGTTTTAATCGTTTTTATAAGCAAGTCAAATCTGTAAATGATGGTCAAGATACAAGCACATCATCAACAATGCAAAATAACAAATAGTTCAAGCCACTGAATACGTAAAGTCTAACGCTGATGCATACAAGGTCTATACACAGATGGTATGAACTGATCCATCCAAAATAAGCCCCGTTTAGCATTTAGAGGACATTCATTTTCACATTCACAGATCATCATCTAAAAACTAGCACACTACCAGAAGTTTCACAAGTACATGCAGTGAGTTGCAAATTCTGGGTCAAAGACATCCGTACTGATGAGACTGCTGAAGAAGCAGAGAAGGAGTGTTAAAGTTCACAAAATTCACATAACACACCCTCAAAACTGTCGGTTCATTTTCTACTGCTAATTTGTGTCGGAAAAAAGAAAATGACTCCTGGGGTAAAAAGGTGTGCCTGAAAGCCAGCCCAGCCAGCTTATGCCAGCCATCTCTCGCTACCTTGCTTCCCCTCTTTCTCTTCATCCAGGTCAGGACAGGGGCGTCACTGCTCTGGCACAGATGTGTCGTCTCTCTCTACTGCCCCCGATCCTCCTGTCTCTAAAAACAGAAACAGGCAAGGCGTAGTTAAACACTGCGGAGCCTGGAAAAAACAAAAAAAAACAGCTTCTGCACACATGCTTGTCGTCAAGGTTAAAGGCTCTAAAGCATAGTCACAAACTGTAAGGTTACTGGTGGGTAGATCTATTATAAAAACACACTTGAAAAAAACTTTGAGCTGCTGCTTGAGTGGAACTGATTTTCAAAGGAAACTTTCCATTATGATCTGTTTGTAGAATTAATGTTTAGGTTTTTAGGTATTAAGCAACGCTAAGAACCTGACTGACATTACCGTTAAGCTCATAAACCCAGTACTGCTGTGAAAAGGGGGTCTCCCCCAGTGGGAGGGAATGCATGGTTCCAGTCCGACAGGTCCATTAATTTTGCTTGGCCCTCTGAAGCATATACTGTACCTGAAGCACCTGGAGCTATAAATACATCTCCTACATAAGGATGCAACCAGCAACTGGGTTAGGGAGAATCATTGACGAACATCCCTTGTGTCAGCCACACCCCCAAAGAAAACGCTGCTTTGTCTTTTAGGAAAGGTGAAATCTTGAGCTCTGGTTTCAAAAAAAAATATCTGAGTGGACTGCTGAGTTACATTTCATACTGTTTCAGACTGTGATTGTTTTCTTTTGTTCTTTTAGAGCTAAAAATAAGCGGTAAAATGAAATCTGAGTGCAACCTTTGCTTGAGTTGAAACACTGGACGCCCTCAGGAGAAAACAGTGAAACACATTTGGACTAACAACACTGAATATACTGGATATAAATACATGTTTACCATTTTGAGAATGTAAGTTGACATTTTCCAGGTGACAAACATCTTTCCTCTCCAGCAGTTTAACAGCGCAGCCACAAGCAGATTCATTTATAACCCCTTTAACGGAATAAGTAATTGAAAGATTCAATCATGTGTTGCTGGAGACCCTATGGGGTAATTAAATGAGTCACGCAGTTATGTATTGCATTAATCACACTTGGGATAACCCATAAGGGGCTCTAATAGGTGTATTTAATTATGTATAGCTTTTAAATGGTTTCTTCCCCCGTGTGTATGATGGTAAATCAGTTTGTGTTCCTGCATTATGTGTTCGGCTCTGAGAAAAGGTCACAAATTGACCCTGTGACATCTTATCTCAAGATTCAACCAACAACATGATCATCAGACTAAGCTAACTTAAATTGCTTTAACTCTAAGTCTGTTTATGATCAAATAAGCAACTTAAACTTACCTTCCGTCACCTACTGTAGTTCAAGCTCCTGATGGGAGCCGCTGCTACCGTCCTTACAGTCACTAGCCATAATGCCCCCTTTAACGGCATTATGTGACCTACTCTTACCCCGTGGTTCTACACTACTGACCTGTGTCCCCCTGGCTGCCGTTGAGCACATCCCCAGTGCTGCTCACCTCCTCCCCTTCCGCTTTGTCCTCCGGCTTCATCTTCTTACGGGTCATATGCCCACGGAAGCCAGCCTGGATCTTGGCAGCAGCCCTGTTGGCCTCGGGGTCATCCAGGGGGATATCCATGATGTCCTCCTCCTCCTGGGGTCGGCTGCACTCCTCCTGCAGAGAGGACCAGAGAATAGTAGTCTGTCACAGAAGGGTAGCATATTACATGATCATCTGAGGGTGTTTTTTTATTGGAACATTGGTGAAAGAATCTAATCCTCAACAGATTGCAATAGCATATTTTGTTAACTGTATACGCTACAACACTATCTTTCAGACAGTGAGGGATGTGCGCTTGTTGCAAAGTGGCTCACCCTTATTACATGACTTCAATGGGGCTCTCAGGAGGTCACTAACCCACATTGCCACCTTTTTTCTCTCCCCTTCTCCTCTTGTCATATAATACACTGATGTCTGAGTCAGTCTATTTTGTAATGAATCATCATTGTCTGCTGTTTTTTTTCTTTTGCCATGGAAAAGATTTTTTAAAAAGGCATTAAACTGCTCACTGAGCAGACATATGAATTCCCAAATGAAGTAACAGCCAATGATTTTACGATCATTAGTCGTTTATCACACAAAATAAACCAATCTGCGATTTCTTTGGTGAGAAACAATGCTGGTGTGAAAGACTGCTCCATGTGTGATATTTCATTTGTAGCCAGTTCTTCTTGTTTCAGATAGACCGGAGGTATGGTTAAAAAGGTTTCTTTCAAGGGAAAAATAACTTTTGTCTCTGGGCAAAAAAAAGATGACCTAGCGAAAAAGTGGCTTTAGTCAAAACCAGGAGCTCACTCGGCGACTGAAAGTACAGCATCCACTGTCCCAAAGGAAACATGGGGTGGGCGGAAGAGAAATTCTGGCTTGTCATAAAGTGTCAGTGGAACAACGCCAAGGCTGTCGACAAGTTATGTAAACACCAATTCAAATTCTGTGTCGAACACATATCAGCTACACCCCGTGCTTTGCTTATAGAAACAGATTGACATTTCACACAAAGGCAGCCCACAGAACGAGCCCACTGTCATCCCACTACCTTGGTAAAGCAGTGCATCATGTCTCCAGTGAAACCCCTCCAGTGTAGGAGTGTGACCACCCACCTGTTCAGCCAGCATTCATTAGCCTCTCTGTCTGACTGCTCACTGAGCAGCCAGAATCCAGTTTTTTTTTTTTTCAGCAGCGGCAGCAGCAACAGCAGAGATGCAGGACTGCTGCACTGGATTTTGCTGGCTACACACCTTCTCAGGGGGTTTATTGTTTTTATTGCATCAGGGATCCTTAAACTTGATCTGACACAAATTGATTTGAGATATTCTGATGCAAACCTGAAGTAATATGATGCACCTATGATGAAAATAGCTTCAAATGGTGTAAAATAGGAATTTATGTGGTGAATTTTGTGTCAAAAATTTACAATTTGTGAGTCAGAATTATTCAAATGGTTACTAATATATATTTTACTCTACTAAAAGGACAAAAACAAACACACACACGGCAGTATGCAGTTTGAAGGCAACTAAACACTTGTAAATACCATTAATATCCTGCAAACTGTGTCACCCAATTCTCCAAACTGATTTGTGATCACAAATATAAGAAGAATGTATTGAAAAAGTTAATGTGAAGCTTCTACTTACATTGTGACAGTCCATGTCTTACTCTCAGAGATGCCTTCAGTCTTCAGGTGAGCTGACCTAGTATGACTTGTATGCCTCGATTTTCTATGTGAACCAAGCAAAGCTCTCTTTAAATGAGTCTCCGGTATAATACAGATGCCTCACTGGCTCTTACTAACAATCACTGTATGTTCAGTAACACCCGCTCACGCACGGAGTGAGAGAGAGACATACAGTCACAGAGAGAGGAAGAGAGAAAGAGGGAGGGAGGGAAAGAGAGACCTCCTACAAACATGACAGCATGTGTTCCATCTTTTCAGTCCCATTAAGGCTGCTCACCTACTGTGTTCATATTACTGTTAAAGAGCTTAACCAGACCTCAATGTTCACTGGGCATCGCCTAAAGACTTCAGAAAAGTCACTGAAACAGCCTAAAAATGTGCGCAGTTTCAGCGCTTCAAAGTTTGACACAAGCGAAAATGACAAGCTGATACAGCCTGGATAAAAAATATGGAACCACAAAGTGACTGCCGTGTGCCGAGCATCATGAAAAAATCACAAGTTTCAGTGTTACAACAATTAACTCCACAAATAAACACAAATGACCAACATAGAAATACTATGTAAAATACAGATGGTCGTAAAACAATAATTGCTGACTTTCAAATTCCACTAATAGCGAGGAAATAAAACCGTGTAAGCATCTTGGACTGTTTTACACTAGGAGGTGTTATAAATTTATTAGAGGCAGAGTGAGCTAACAACCCTCTCCATCCCTCTGATCCCAGCTGGTATGGCCGCCCACACTCCTCTGCCAGCCTCAGAGACAAGACGGAGAGGGAGAGAAACAGAAAACATCCATTTATCTGAGTTATGTATCTGACATTAACGCTCTCCTGCTGGTTTCCCGACCAGTTGAACAATATGTTAAGTTATCCTCACGCCTGATTTCACAAAGCTGACTTGCTTTATCAATCAATGCACTGTTAATTTGAAGGAACGAGCACCACTGTCTAATTACATTAGCTGTAATCAGTCATGGTGGTAAGTCTGCTCATATTAGCCAAATCATTAGTGTATCTAACATAGTATGTATTCTGCTGAGATGACAGGAGTGTGGGAACATCATTTAGGGCACTTGTAAACAGTGAGTTAAAGGCTTAGAAATTAAAATAAAAGACCAGACAAGGCATCTGCAGCTGGGTCACTGTTAGAATAGATGGCCTATATATTGTACAGTTATGTGGTAGCTTGGTTTCAGCTGAAATAACTTCCGCCACGAAGCAAGAGCACACCGAATAGCTCCACTGTATGTAAAAATACAGAAAGTGCTGTTTTAATGTTTAATCAGTCAGCAACTGCTATTAAAGGTAGATTACTGATACAGATGGTGCCTAGCAACTATCAGCATCACCATCTCCTATTAATTCCATGACGACACTAAGAGAGAGCAGGATGGTGAGGGGTTACCATGGAAACATTCTCAGTAACCCTTCCTACACTCCCCTCCCTGTGTGTTTGGAGCCCTGTTGGTCCAGACAAATCAGACAGGGCTAACTGTGACAGCAGTAAAAATGTTAAAGGCCTTAATTCGCAAGACAAATCGTCCGGTCGGTCTTTTATGATGATAGATTACTCAATCAAGTTTCAATCTGTGGAGGCTGCGGTGGCTCTCAAGAGGAGAGTGGATCTGGCACTAACAAAGCCACAGTATTACAGTTTTATGAGCACGCGGCACAGCAAAGGCCTCAAACAGCATCTTCACACGCTCGTATGTGAACACAGACACAGATTATGGTGAAGTTGGAGAGGGAAACTAGAATTTCTGCACATTTCCCTCTCGATGACATCCTATTACTGTAAATGGAGAGCGGATGTGAGTGTGTGTGTGCGTGTCCCACCATTCCTCCAATCCACATTCCTCCAGTCCCTCCTAACTTGCCCTAAAAAAGGTTCAGGGGGTCGTCCACTGCAGAATTTGCTGTCTTTTTTTTTTTATTTAATAATTCTATTTTATCTCAATTTTTTTTTTTTTTATGTTAAAGGAACAGTATGTAAGATTTAGGCTGGTTTATTGGCATCTAGTGGCGAGGACTGCAAATTGCAACCAGCTGAAACTTCTTCCAGTTAGAATTCCTTCAGTGCTCAAGAGGTTTTTAACAGGAGCTGAAATATCCGCAGAAGTCTCCTCCTCTCCCAAACAAAATAAAGCAGTTTCACATTACAAATCACTGTTTCTCCTACACTGCTCAGCATGTTGCAGATAGGCCACTAGCCCAGCACCTGCTAATGCGTGCTTACCTATCTTCTCTGATAACTTAATGTGTCCTAATGTGAGAGGTCACCTCCTCTCCAAAACAAATGGACCCACGTAATCCAGTAACAGCAACTGAATAAGTGTGTTTTTCCAACGATGTTTGGCATGTTGGAGACTGGACGCTAGCCCAGCACCTGCTTATGTCTGCTTTCTTTTTCTTATAACTTTCAGACGCTCACAGGGTTTTCACCATGAGCTGAATTATCGGCAGAGGTCTCTCCCTCTCCAAAACAAATGAACCTGGTGATTTAAACTGGTAATAACACAGAATAAAGCAGTTTCACCTCCAAAGAATCTGCGTTCTTCTGACCCTCTGGTCATGGAGGGGCTGCTAACTACAGTGGCTAACAGGGAAATGTGAGTGGCCCCATCTAGAGCCACTGTTTGGTTTGTCTGTTCTGGGCTATTGTAGAAACATGGGGGTGCAACACAGTGATCTCTGTGGACGAGGACCTGCTCCCAATGTAGATATAAATGGCTCATTGTTATTTTCACGTGATTATACACAACAGTAAGCATACTCATTATATTAAATTCCATTTCTTCCAATATAACCCCCTAAATCCTAAATATAACATAAATACTCTGCAGTTTTACTTTTGAATCCTTTGTTTTTAAAATCTCCTTCATTTTAACATCCGGGAATACTGTCACCCTTTATCTACCGGACAAACGACAGGAGAAGAGCAAAAAAACTACTTTTACTTTTTGCACTAAGGGTTTGCATAATGCCTAAAAAGAAGCTCAAACTTCTGTTGGCAAGTATTAATGCTGCCACACATAAGAGATTGGCATACAGTTGCGAATCTTCAGAAAAGTCAGTGCTGAGCATACACTGGTGACCTTAAGATACAACTATGACTGCACGATGTTGTTAGAGCTGTGTATAAAGATCTTTGGATATGTGCCATGCACCTTTGGTCATGTCCCTTCAAAATCCATTCATCTAATGCTCAGAGGTCTGCCCTTTCCACGGGATATTTTTAAGGTGTGTGGCCAGAGGGTGAAGGGGAGTCATGGAAGACTGGGGATGAAAGCAAAGGAGAGGGCTGGGGTACCTGGGCAAAACTCTCAAGGGTCAGGGGAGGTTCAAGGACGTAGGCTGCAATGCCCAAAGGGCACTCTGCTCTAGTTCAAAGTTTATCAGAGCAACCACCATCCAGAAAATAAACTATTCTGGGGATATTTTCAATCACCTACCCCCAGAGACTCCAAGGGGCGGAAAAAAATGAGGGCCACTGTTGATCAGACTCGTCCTTGAAGGGTTTATTTATATAGGCTACCTGTGACAGGAATGGGAGCAGAGCAGACTGTCGCTGAAGACACCCCTGTCTGAAAGTGTACGAACATTTATTCTCAGCCTGTGTGTACAAGTGGAGGAGATGTGGTGAGCTGTCATATTCAAATCAAGTTATGGCTGTAAATGGTAAAATATCAGGGTTATTTTTCCATTGGAAATATGTCCATCTCTTGTGTGGGGTATATAAAAATGTGTGAATGCTGTTTTGATAAGAAGCATCAAACTTTACCTTGTCAACACTCTTGTTTTCAGGCTCTGTGGAGTCCATTTCAGGCCCAAGAGACACATCTCCTCCTTGTTGGTCTGCTGCCAGCTGATCTTCACGTTGAGTGTGCCCGATGCTGCCCTCTTCACCCATTGCATCATTCTTCTCTTGTACATCAGAATCAATCTGTCCTTCTTCAACAAGCTCATCTGCTTCTGAACTTCTCTCCTTTGATGTGACCTCTTTTTCTACCACTGTCTCCTCCAGTTGTGACTCTACAAGTGTTCTCTGACTCTCCTCGATCTCCCCTGATAGATGTTGTGCGCTTGCCTCTAAAGTTTCACTCTCCGCCTCCGTCCTGGCAGTTGATATATTTGACTGGAAAACTTGCGATGATGGATTATCCGCACCACCACCATCAATCTCTTGATCCTCCACTTTGCTATAACCTTTTGTGTGGATGTCCTTTTTGTCTTCTCCAGCCGCGTCTGTTGTCTCGTCTCCTTTAATGTCAGGATCGTTTGACTTTGCCTCTTTTTCAGGATCCTCACTCTGGTGAAATTTGCCTTCACTTATCTTCTCACTATCTTCATTTTTGTGATCGGTTTCATCCTCTGGGTTTCCTTCGTCTGCCTCGGTGGTGGGCTGATGTGACAAGCCGATGGTTTTAACACCTTCGTGCTTCTCATCATCATCACCACTATCATTTACATTAGAATCATTTGAATCCACCTTCTCCTTCATTTTATCAGACGCCTCTTGCTGAGTCTGCATTTCCTCCAATTCGGAGTTAACTTCTTTTTCAACTCCCATCATTTCAGGTTCACTTTGGTCTTGGTCTTGGTCTTGTGATATATTTTGGTCTGTTGCCTCTTCGGACTCTTCCTCCAGTTGCGTTTCTAATATCGTAGACTGTAAGCCCTCTTCCTCTGGCTGTTTCTCCTCAACCTCTTCAATCTGCTGAGCCTCTGGAATGTCTTCAAAGCTAATCTCAACCAAGGAATCTTCCATTGGTATAGCATTGCTGTTAAAACCACCCTCTATATGAGCTAAACTTTCATGTATTCCTCCAGAAGAAGCCTCAATCTCTGTTCCTTCCTCCTCCTTTGTTTCTGCTTCATCTTCTGCTTCACGTTGATTGCCCTCTAGGGTTTTAGATTGAGACGATGAGCGTACAACTGCTTCCTCAGGTTTGGGTGTTGAGGTGTCCTCTTCAGTGACCTTTGTATCATCTTCAGCAGTAGCTTCTTCCATTGTTACCTGTGTTCCTCCAAGCTCTGTAGCACACACATCCACATCTGCTAGTCCAGAATATGGAGGGACCTCCACTGGTTCGTCATTGTCAATGTTTTCCTCTCCTTCGGAGTCTTCAATCTCCTCATCTACAACTGCAAACTCTTTTTTATCACCCCCTTCATCTTGTGCCATCCCTAACTCCTGAGCACACACATCTACATTAGAAATCCCTCTGAATGATGATAAGTCAGTGGGTTCTAACTCAGATTGAGGTTTATCTCGGTCTGAAGCAAAGCTGCTATGATTTCCATTAGCTGCCCTGTCAACTTGATCAAATTCAGTTATTGTTGGGTCTCTCTCCTCCTCTGTCCCGCTCAGATCATCTGGCTGCACATCTCGGAGCCTGTTGACTGATTCCTCTTCTGAAGGCCCCTTTTCCACAACATGTTCCTCTGTAATATCGTGTTTTCTGTCTTTGTCTGTGCTTTTGCTTAAATCAGCCTCTTCAGAGACATTGGGTTGTGTGGTGGAAGCATGTGAGGCCTCTGCTGAATGACTGTGTTCGTCATCAGTTTGGGACTCGTCAGATTTTTCTCTAAAAAGTATCAATCAAAGTGAAAGACTTGGTGAGAAATGAGTGATGAGTGAAACATTACAGAGTCATATTGCCTCATCTGTGACTGTCTTCCTGTAACTGGTGGTCCCTTGTCTTTCAGACCTGCCCCCTCTTCTCACCCTTGACACTGCAAACCTCAAAGCGCTTGCCATATTGAGCTGGTGTTTTGTACTAGTTCCAGGCTTCTACTGTACAATGTATTTTTGCTCTAGAGGTTATTATTATTATTACTAATAATAATAAAAATTATTATTGTTGTAGTTAAATTATAGCGCTTATATGAGTTGATTACTTTCATTATGTTTATTTTTTTATTATTTATTATATCTTATTATTTGTTATTGTTATATTTCTATGATATTTATGATATATTTCAAATTATTTTTATTTATTTGTTTTATTTATATTTATTACATTTTTTATACTTTTTTCATGCCTTTATTATTTTTTTCTATTCTATATTATGCTTCTATAATTATGTTTCTTGTTTCTTTTGCAATACTTTACCTCTCACTATGTTTATGTTATGCACCAATACACCAGAGCAATTTCCTTGCATGTGAAAACCTACTTGGCAATAAACTGGATTCTGATGTCTGAAAAGCTGAAGCGGGACATACGGCTATCTCATTCATATTCTAAAGTTATTATTATAAACTACTGTATTTTCTTAAAAATCCAATTAGATATAAATCCAATCATAATGATTATTTTCTAGCATTTTAAAGCAAAAAATTCAATGAGGTTGGGAAAATGCATGCATGTCCCGACGTCCTTATAGGTGTGCTAAAAGCAGAAATGTGATTAATATTGTGCACTTTTGTCCAAAATTCTTTTTGCAAATATTGGCAATCAGGACAAAAAGCAAAAAAACATAACTACACAATACCTCGCACAGCAACTTCAGAAAAATGAAAAATACAGTAGTTTATTCTCATTTCTTCATCACTTCTCACTTCACTTGTTACTATTCTGTCCCTCCATGTCCGTCCTCTCCCTCTCTGATCCTCCTGGCTGCTGATAGCACATAAAGTGAGACTCACTTGGAGCTGGTCTCCTCTGCAGCAGGCTCTTCTTTAACACTAACCTGTTGGGAGAAAAAACAAAACAACAACAAGGATTTAATGGTGAATAATTAGAGAGATATAGATAAAGAGTTAAGATTTATGAGTATGCTGAGAGTGGTGTCTTTGGTGAAGTACCTCAGTTGCCTTAAACGCATGGTTGTTGTAGAATCTGTCTTCCAGTTTAGCAGCCCACTCAGCAGGGTCCATGCCACTCTCTACAGGAAAACACAGACACAGTTATTTGTCAGCAGTTAATGGTATTTGTCTCACATATAAAGTTGGAGTTACCTTCTCTTTTTCTGAGAAGAGCCTCGAAGTACTGAGCCGCATATTTCGGGATGTCTTCAGGCTGGTCTCGCAGGATTTCCCTGGTAAGCCCCTCCAGGATGGTACCAAACCCTCGAGGGACCCGCAGGTGAGTGTTGGAGAAAGGCACCGACATGTTTAAGGATACACTGGGAGGGTAACTTCTGTGACACTGAGGGAAAACGGACTGCAGAAGAAGAAGGCGAAGTTCTCCTCTGTTATTTACTTTCTTCCGGGTGTTTACACTGGAAGTTTTCACGGAATATGAGTTAACGTTAACTTAACGTTTGTAGTTAGCTAACTATGCTAATTAGCCAGTCGTCACACACCACTTAAACTGCTTAAATATATATTTAGCATATTTCAAAATGTCCACACATTAGTATGTTACTTTAAATGTCTTGCAATTCGTGTCTACCTTTATGTTTCTTCTGAATGTTTTAGCTGTCAGCTACTCTGTTTTGTTGATAACCGTTTCTAGGCAACGGCTCTAACTACGGATACTGACAAGGCTCAAGTGTAACAAAACTCACAAGACAGACTGGCTTTATTGGATTTTTATTGCAAGACCATTATAAACACAGAGTAAGTCACAAAACAACACAAGAAGTACATATAAAATAGCATTACTTAAAAAAATATTACTTGTATTAGCATGAACATCAAATACCAGATGTGTGTACATATATATATACATCTTCTTCCTCTCCTCTCCTCTCCTCTCCCAGCAGCAGCTGTCCTCAGTCAGGCATATGTGATGACTGCATACTCAGAGTTGGTGCTCATCTTGCGGCTGACCTGCTGGGGGACATGCAGTCTGTCAGCTGAGCGGGAGGCCTGCAGGTGAGACCTTGAATCATCTCCCCACCACTGGAGGAGAAGCAGAGAAAAACTCATGGACTGGCTAAGACTCTTGGGGACCTTCACCTAGTTAGTTTTATACTAAAATATACCCCTTATGTGGTGACAGCATCGCATTTATTCTACTCTGTGCAACCACTTGTTCTACTACAACACAATTTGTCATTAGGTGTACTTTTTAAACTTGTAATCTACAGAGGTGTAAACCAACAGTGAAATCCGTGATGATAATAATGTAAAATTCAAACAATATATCCATTCAGTTGCCATTTTATTAGGTGCATTAAGCTAATTCAACACATTTGCAATAAATCTTAACTACACCTGCATTTTTGCCAAAACCTTAATATTTAAAATTGAACTAAAAGTGAAACTTATTTATGCTCTTTTCAAAGCCAGACTCCAATATTGTTGTTTTTTACCAAAGCGGAAAATGCATGGGCTTTGAGCATATGACTGCATAAATGAGAACTGGATTATACTGCAGTAGTTGTGTGAGAGTTTGTAGACATATATTTAGATATAGTTTTGCTGTTAAATGTGGTCCCAAGCATTTAATCAATATGTTTGCTTTTTCCGTGAAGGCATGCGAGAAATCAGTGTCTACTTCATGAATTCCAGGTTAACACAGCGTGACTAACTGGTATACAAATTGGAATTTTTGTGCGTAAAGTATTCCTTTAATTCTATGCAAACGGACATAAATGCCTCATAAATGGGCAACCTGTATGGTTATTTATACAGCTCCATATTTAAACAACTACCATACACTTAGATAGTGTTAAAATTGCAATGAAAAGTGAGCACACCACATTTAAAGGTTTCTTGTTTGGCAACCTCATAATAACTAACACTCAGTATGCACAGTAGCTCCTTACTTGAGCTGTCTATGAAGCCTAGCAAAGTAGCTGGTCATTTATATAAGCTGATATATTCTGGATATGCACTGTGTCTCCTTGTGCACCAATTACAGTAAACTATAAGTGATCACCACAACATCATTTACCTACTTTACATAGATTTATGTACATTATTTATGATTGCTTATAGAACAGAGAAGAATAATCACTTAGTAAGATAAATAGAGACAAATATATTGACCCTGAAGTGTCTTCTCTCACCTCATTTTGATCTCCAGGAGTCAAGTAGCCGACCTGAGTGAGCTCTGGTGTACTGACACCTCGGACCGTGATCATTATGTCGGCATATGGGACCTCAGTGTCACTCTCGTTGTCTGGGTGAAAGAAATTATTCACTATGTTAGTCTTTGTATTATAGAAAGTCACTTAGAAAACAACTGTGATCGCGCTGCTGATCCAGAGATCAGCTTACCTGGTGTAGGGATCCTCAAAGTCACTCTTTCACTTTGTGTCACTGACCCTGGGGAATATGACGGGTATGAATGGCAGGGCTGCAGTTTTCAGAGGTTAAAGTGAATTTTATTTTTTATATTTTAAAGTGTTTACCCTTCACTGGCAAGAGGACAGCGTGAGGAGATAGTGGTGAGCTGAAATTGTAAAGGATAAAGAAATAAACTGATAAAGAAGTTGCACAATCATATATTTTAAAAGGTAACTGAACACAGATTTACACAAATAGATAATAAATCTTAAATTGTACTCACCCAGACCTGGACACAACAGGCACCCCTGAAATGTATGACATTATTAACACAATAATATAGAGATCAAAATGTGTGTATTTTCATATTCAGAAATGTATGTTCAAAATGTAGTATTTAGTAATTACCTTTATCGTTCCAGCTCAGTCTGTTCCGGTTCAGACACAGGTAAACAGCCAATGCTGCAAGCACCATGGCCACAGCGACGGTAACTGTTGCTAAAACCTTTATTCCTGTAAATTCTTCTGTCAACATGGACAAGCAACAGTGTTAACACGGATTGTATTGAATTGAAAGGGCAACTTTTGCCTTTCAGTTTCAAATATAGATGTACATAATTATATAAAGTGCAGTCATACATTATCTACATCAATAAACTCAATGCATTGTTTCAAAGAGCTGTCTTACCTCCACTTGAATCGTTCGGCTTAACAGGGAGAGACGCTGAGAAATGTAAATGTAATATTTATAAATACAAGCAATGTGTGAATAAATAATGTATAGTTACAATCATAGAATATTTTATATCAGACATTTGAATATAATTAATTCAGCATTTTAAAGTCCTCACCATTTTTAGTCCCAGTCTTTGGGGTAACTGTCCAGTTTGGAGCACTTGTGAGAGCTGAAACAAAACAAACCATCAAAATGAATTTATTTCCACTTTGTAATATTTATAATCATCCCTTTATTAAAGACTGACTAAAGATATATGTATAGCCTATATACCCTGAAGCTGCAGTAAAACAACTAGCTCTGTTTTTTGTGGAACATGAGGGTCATCTGTATCTTGTGTGTAGCAAGTGTAGTTCTTCTTGAGATCTTCAGTGGACACATTTGATAAATGAAGGGACACTGTGCAAAAGTTGCTTTTGCTAAGTGTCCCGTGACAGCCAGAGTTGTCTGATGCTTTACTCCAACAGCCGCGAACAAATCCGACGGAGCAATTGTAAGTGCAGTTTAATGTGAGAGAGTCCCCTAATGCGACAGCCAAGACATCAAAAGGCGTCTTCAGATAAAAGGAGCTCACAAAATCTGCAAAAAGAGATGACATATTATTGACTTTACAGAAAAAAACTATTGTATCAAATACCGAGCACATTTTTTTAGATGAAAAGTGAATACATGCACATATATTTAATACACTTAATTGCTAAAGTAGATATACATACCCGGTGTCACCCAAACAAAGAGCAGAGTGAAGTACACTGAGATCATCATGGTTGTTCTGATTCCTGCTGCCTCAGAACAAAGCATGCAATCAAATATCTTGTGCTCACACAGTTTGGTGATGCTTGCACCTGCAGAACAATACTGAAATACCAACACATATGTTTCAACCCTCGGGTAAGGGTACAGGAAGTGGTAAACAACAGGATCCAGAGCTGTGTAAAAATAATTCATAATTTTCCATTTATTGCACCTGACTTCCTGCAAAGGGAAAAAAAAACTAATCTTCAACATGATAAAACAAAAATCCCGCTCTAACATATGTAAATAAACGAAATTTCACTTTTGCATTAAAAGTGCAAAGAATGCATTTTAGCAGCTGTCTTAAAAAAGAAGAAAACACACATGATAATGTGGTTTGCACAGACTGTAGCTTATCTGCAGATGCACCATTGCAGCTCACTCTCTGCTCACACAGAGGATGTGCCTGACATTCATATCCCACCAACATTAAATAATTTATTTTCAAATCCTCACACTTTGAAGACAAAGGGTATCTTTGTGATACGGCTTTTCAACATTGGCGTGTGAATCCATTGAATTGATTCCAGAAATCCATCTGCTTTTTCATATCGGCCCCATATTTTCCTCTCTTTATAACCCCTAAACTAATTACACTGGTGACATAAATAATTGAAGTGATCCACTAACAGAGACAATATCTAGGTTAGCCTTTGCACATGCTCATGCATTATGAAAGTGGAAGGTACAGTTACAGAACACCATCGCACACCATTATCAGCTAGAGCAATCACATGGGACTCACATTTCGTGCTCTTGTTTCACTTTCAGTGACTGAGGCCCTCTCACTTTCATGCCTTTAAACAATCAGTCCTGTAGACTCAGACTAAACAGGCTTGAATGAAAATACACAAAAAATGAAACAGTGGATTTGATTAGAGATTCAGTGATAATGTGCTCGTGGAAAATGATGCACCTGTTCTGTTTTTCAGCTTCATGGATTTTTCTGCTGCTGGCACAATGTGGACCCCCCTCAGGTAAGAGCAATAATTATTTTGTTTTTTTACACTATATTTAAAAAAATGCTATTTTAAAAAGGAAGGTTGACAAACATATTGACTAATAACAGACTTCTACATCCTTCCTGATATTAATTTATGTGTGTAAGAATCATCTGAAGGGAGTGCAGACCTCCCCCTCGGCGAAGATACTGACTTTGATCAGTGTCCAGAGGGAAAATACTTCTCCCACCAGCTTTGTCTGGAGTGTCCATCTGGTCATTTGTAAGTCAACAACCACCTCTGAACCTGTTTTACTCGTACTATGTACACAACGAAATACACCAATAAGACCTTAACATAAGGAGACATTATTTTTGCTCCTCTTAAGGAGATTCAATATATGAAATATGTCACTACTACTGAGAGATTTAACTGTAACACATATATATAATAAATGAACATATTTCTGTTATCTAGTTGTCCTGGCAGTGTATCTGCACCTCATAGATGTCCAGCAGAAACATTTAACATCTACACAGGGAAAAGCAGCATCAGTGCCTGCAAGGTAAGAGACAGCTGTGGATTAAAACCCATCATCATATGTCAAAGTTTTTTTTCTGCCCTCCTTTGAAAGCCAAAAA